TTGTAAAACTGTATGGTTTATATAATAACGTCATTTCAATTTTGGATAAATGAGTGGAAAATAAATAAATCAAATCGAATCAATAACATTTAGTGGATCGTCGACTTAAAAACTGTTTCTAAGAATGTTAGTCACCCCATATCTTTACCATTGTGTCTATGGTGGAAAATTGGTATAAATTCAACTAGAAACACATTCCAATATAGATGCTGTTGCAATTCGAAGGAGAAATACAATATAGGTGTTGTATAGGACAACCTCATAGTGCGGGTTTTGTGATATCACATTGGACAACATGGAATCGGTGTAAATCTGAGAACACCAACGAGAAGTTGATATTAATTAGAACGTATGTAGCTGTACTTTAACTCTAGTATTTAGGATCTATGTAGCTGTACTGTACCTTAGGTATTTAGGATTTATGTAGCTGTACTGTAACTGTGGTATCTAGGATTTATGTAGCTGTACTGTAACTGTGGTATTTAGGACTTATGTAGCTGTACTGTAACTGTGGTATTTAGGACTTATGTAGCTGTACTGTAACTGTGGTATTTAGGACTTATGTAGCTGTACTGTAACTGTGGTATTTAGGATTTATGTAGCTGTACTGTAACTGTGGTATTTAGGACTTATGTAGCTGTACTGTAACTGTGGTATTTAGGACTTATGTAGCTGTACTGTAACTGTGGTATTTAGGACTTATGTAGCTGTACTGTAACTGTGGTATTTAGGATTTATGTAGCTGTACTGTAACTGTGGTATTTAGGACTTATGTAGCTGTACTGTAACTGTGGTATTTAGGACTTATGTAGCTGTACTGTGATTGGATCAGAAGGACATGACAAAACCATTTGTCCAGGTCTATTCAGCGACAAGGGGTGACGCCAGACAGACAGGTCATCGTCAGGATACTCCAGGACCCTGTTTCATAAAACTTGATGTCAGAAACAAGTTACTGTAATGGTTTTAAGCTACTAAAGATCCTTGCGTTTGATTGGCTGTGGGCAGATTCGTCACCGATCTGTGGCATTCGTTATTAATGACTATGGTATTATGAAACAGGGTCCTGAAGCAGGGGTTACCCAAACTGAAGACAAAGCTAAGGATCTACATTAATCAGTGAGCTATATTAATCTTCTTTTTTGTCTCATATGTTTGTAATTCTTTTATGAATTCTGTTGTAACCGTTGTTTAGAATAGTTTGCATTAAAAAGATTCATTCAACCTAATTAATTGTGTTAATTATTCTTCTGTTCGCAAGGTAACCAGAGTCTTAGTGGCAGCACCAACGATAGCAAAATATCCCAGTCGCAAGGTTTTGCTCGATTCCCACCTTGTTGTAACAATAATTATGTGGTGTGAGGGCCGGTTGATATTTATTTTATAGATGCAGTAGGCCGGTTAAATCGAAACTCCCCAGCAGAAAATCAGTTCCTGCTCGCCCATCTCCAAAGGGAAACGATTTTTATTTATTGGACAAGAAAGAGAGATGTTTCTTTCTGAGGAAATGTCTTGAGACCAGTTTCATTATTATATACATTTGAAATAACTTCCTATTTATATCGGAATTGTTTTCCTTTTTATTTTTGGGTAGGGGGAGAAGTGTGTGTATGTGTGTGTTTGTGTGCGCGTGTGTGAGCGTGTGTGAGCGTGTGTGTGCGTGCGTTTGTGTGCGTGTGTGTGCGTGTGCTTGCGTGTGTGCGTGTGTGTGTATTTGGGGTTACAGACGCGTATCAATTATAAATTATTATTTACGTCTGGGGACCGTCACCATCCGAAAGACGTGACTCAGTTTCGAACCGGGGTCGCATTACGAAAAGCTCTCGTTAAAACTATACCCCACCACTATAGCACAGCAGTCAATGTAATCTGGTGGGGTAGCACTACCCCAGATTCGTTTCTCTCGTTAAAACTTTGTAATCTGGTGGGGTAGCAATACCCCAGTTTCGTTTCTCTCGTTAAAACTTTGAGAGAGCTACTACTATTACACAGGCACCAATGGGAATCTGATGGGGTCTCACTACCCCACTTTCAATTCTCTCGTTAAAAACTTGGACAGAGCCTCGAGGCTTTGAGTGAGAGATTAAGATATTGGATTGCAGCTGGACTCTACATCATCTTACGTAATACTAGTGTAAACAAACTCTTACTGGGGTCTGCCTGAAAGGAAATGAGAAGTAGGAAATAAGTATTTTACTTGTTTTAAGATATTTTCATGTCCTAAAGTCACTAATAATTTAGATGAAGACCAAAATGAAAGTTCGAACGAAGCAAAATGACCCATAATTGGCGATATAACAACAATTTTAACTCTGGCAGCGAACCCCTGCATGTGTCTCTTTCTCCCTTCTCCCTTCCTTTCCCCTTGTATCATGCTTATCTCTCTCTCGCTATCACCTCATCAAGGTCTCGGTGGGGGTGGATTACAGCGTTAGTGTTTACTTAGGGCTTATCACAATCTCAGCTCTAGTACAAGTAGAAATGGTGAAAGTCAAATGGGGGTTTCAATTTTAAACGACGAGTTTTCGTCATGGCTTGGGCCAGTTTGTTGGGAAGACAGGGGGCTGACAAAGTGAAAATGGGTCACTTCTTGCACCAGATGAGAGGCTTTCATCAATGATGAAAAAGGGCACTTATTAGCACGAAAAAGGGGCACTTATTTGTACGGAAAAGGGGCACTTATTACAAAGGAATTAAAGAGTTAAATTATCAGAAGGAAAATGGCATTCATTCGAAAAGATAAGGGGCACTTGTCGAAATAAAAGGGGGACTTATTACAGAGTCAAAAAGGGCTCCTCTCAAATTTAAATAAGGGCACTCATCGGAGATGAAAAGGGGCACTTATAAGAATGAAAAGAAGGCATACAAAGAAAAAGAGGCATTCAGTTGTAAAAATATAAGGGACACCTGGTCCTCTCAGATTTCAAAAGGGGCAATTATAAGGGGTGAAAGGTTGCACTTAAGAGATGGTAAGGGGCACTTCTTGTACCTGAAAAGAAGTACTCACATGAGATGAATAGGGGCCTTTTACAAATGAAAATGGTCACTAATTTGTCGAACGAAAAGGAGGACCTATGAGATTTGAATAGAGGCATCTATCAAAGGTGTCAGAGCGGGAACTGGCCCTTATTAAAAAAGAAAAGGGACATTTTATCAAAAGGAAAAATGGCACTTATTAGAGAGAAAAGAGAGCACTAGTCTTATCAGAGGTGAAAAGAAGCACTCATCAAAGATGAAAAGGGGTTCTTATCAAAAGAGGAAGGAGAACTTATTCAAAAAGAAAATGGGACTTGTTGAAGTAAAGTGGGCACCTCTCAGATTTGAATATGGGCAATAGTTATAAGTGAAGGGGCACTTATCAGAGGGGTTAGAGACAATGATAGGAATGTGGAAAGGGCACCTGTTAGAAATAAAATAGGACATTTATCTGAATTAAAAGGGGGCATCTATCCTATGTAAAAATGGTTACTTAAAGGGTATTCTGACATAAATATTTGTTTTAATCTACCACAAAGTTTTCAGTCGTAATGATTATTATCTTTGTTTAGCCATTATGTATGTAAATTAATTAAATTATGTGTATATAATTTATGGATATGTAAACGATGGAAGATGGAAGAACCCTGTGGAAGGGGGATAATGGTGGTACTGAAAGTATTGATCCATCAATGTCGATTCTTGCATCCTAACATTTACATAGTCATTAAAAACGCAACTGCAATTTTATATCAAATCATCAGGAATTGCAGTGTTGTAGAGCGGGATTAAATACCACATTGAGTAAATGAATCAACCATATTATTTTCGATACTACATCTGCAATGAGTAATATATTGAGCATTAGAACCATATTGTTTGTTATCAAGTAGCAGACTGCTAGTATAACAGAGGATATACCAGTATGGTGTCGCGAGTTACGTCACTATATAAATGACAGATAAGAATATCGCTGACACCGGAAAACAGTCAGTCCGGCAAGAGGCATTGAATTATAAGGAGGAATTTTGTTTAAGGACTCAATAAAGTGGCACTTTAATGATTCTATTGTGAAGTAGGAGGGGGCTCAATTCCAAAAATCTCATATCTCATAATGTCATATTTACAAACAGAATATTGATTTGTTACATTGCATGGTAAATTGATTTATAATTATGTTTATAAACAGAATATTGATGCACATCAATGAAATTTATTCAATACAATACAAAATACATATCTCTGTCAAGTAAGCAAGCATTACAAAAGAAAAGTTTTTTTTTTGTATTGTTTAGGTTCTGGTCCCTATTTGGACGGGGTGACTCACTAACACACTTTTTGAGCATATGTATTATATGTTCTTTTGGTGGGGGGGGGGCGTTCCCTTTTGAATCTGCTACTGTGAATCATTTACTCCATCATTATTGAAGAAAGACCTCTAACGTAATCTGATAAGTCAATCAAATAAATAATATCGCTAGTGATATTCGTAATTGTATCGCAATGTATGGTCAACAAGGGATCTAAAGATCACGACGTTTCATGCGCCGCTTCAACACTTCGTCAAGTGATAAAATTAAATTTTTCTTAACATTTTTCTTCTTAACATTACGGTATAAAAACCTGAGGAAATCAACATGATAAACATTTACAAAAATCAAAACAGGTTCGACCTATATTATATTAGTGAGCCTACTGTGTTAATAGAATGATAACTGATACATTAATGGTAGAGGTGTTGTGGTCGAGTGGATACGTCACCAGACTGTCGATCACAGGGACCGCGGTTCGAGTCACTAACTTCTGATTTCTGAAAACAAATGACTAAGATTTGTAATGGCAAGGACTGACCGACGACCGTATTGGTTAAGGCAAGATCACCTTACCTGTGACCATACGGTCCTGCATGTTACCTGTGACCATACGGTCATGCGTGCCCCACATCCTGTCGTATGGCTATGCAAGAGTTTGTACCGAGAGAAAATTCATAAAAGGGGGTCCTGTAAAGGAGACCAATCATTCTCCAGCCTGGTCATCGACAAGAGCAACAGAATCAACCAACAGGATCATTCCCTGCACCATACTCTAGAGATCTGACCCATCGTCTTCAACACTCTTCATCTGACCGTTCCTGTATTGGTAAGTGATACCTGTCAATGGAGGTGCTGTGGTTCATTCACGTGACACTCAATCCAAGGGTTGAGGGTTCGAATCAAGTGGCAAGTGTAAAACTAAGAATTCAATCGGTTGGGTTATAATAGAGCGCCCTCTACATCATGGGGGTTTCAGGCGTCAGATCGATGTTCTTTTAACTTCACCTCTTTGATGTGTTGATGAAACTGGTCTGTGTTTCTATGACCCATCTTAAAGATAAACTTGAGTTCTGGTAAAAAAAGAAAATGAATTCTCACAGAATCTAACGAAACTTACACTGAATGTTCAAGATTACAAATAAATGTCATGTGCCAAACAATTTTGGAAGAAAATGTATACTGGCTGAGTAATGAGCATAGAAAGATAAGGAAATCAGGGTAGTACTAGCCCCGACACCATGTGTGTTGTCCCATATTCATCTATCTGTGTAAGTGATTGTTACTTTACCAAGACTCTGCCAAATTTATGATGATTTTGATGACTCTAGAACCTTGCATTACACACCATTACTTACATGCTATATGATCAACTTTTCTGATCCATTCCACACCTTTTCTTTCACAATGCAATCGCATTACCAGTACTCAAGTTTATCTTTAATTTCATTCTGACATTTTACATTGTATTCAGCCTTTTAAACATGTGTACAATTTGTTGACTATTTTGATATAGTCGTGAGAATGATTGAATTTTTAATGATATTGGCTTAGGTTGCATTAAAAACATTTCTTGGAGTGTTAAGAAAATTATTTATGATAAACGCGTTATAATAAACGCGTTATAATGGAAAGTTTTCACATTTTTTAACTGGATTACTAAGAATTATTTGCAAACCGCCCCTCCATTTAAAAAAAAGAATCATGACATGATTGTTATCATAATGTCGAGACATATTATACAAGAAAATTATAAATAGATTATCTTGCAGCCTAATGTATAAGGCGATGATTGTTCGGATATTTATAATTTTAAAATTCTTGGATGGCGGCTCCAGCCCCTTCCCGCCTCATACGTCTACGCCAAGTACTTAATTTAAGCTTTCCATTGATTGTTTTTTTTAAATTTATATTTTAATACTTTTTCACAGATTATCTTTGAAAATGAAAGGCACAATACTCGTTACCCTGGTGGTCCTAATTGGCTTGGTGACCCCTCACGTGACTGCAGCTAACTTGGAACATCTCTTCGATGATGAAGGGGACCTCCAAATGTGTAAGTTCTAATGACGAGATTGAACAAGAGAGAGTGAGAGAGAAAGAGAGAGAGAGAGGGGGGAGAGAAAGAGAGAGACAGGGAAACTGGGGGATGTAAAATTGAAAGGGATAGAGAAATAAAGCGAAAGAGGGGAAGAAAGAGAGAGAGAGAGAGAGGGAGAGAGAGAGATATATATATATATATATTAGAGAGGGTAGGTGATGGAGAAAGCAATAATTTTTACAAAACACTGGCATATTAAAATAAAACCTACTCCAAATAATATTGACATCTTTTATTAAAGTTTAAAACATGCAATCTCCATTCAGATAAAAGTTTAGAATTTGCTATTGTCATCAATAATAAAGTGTCCTTTTGTAGTAACATATTATTTAGAGTGTTGTATTTTGATGTTATTTTAGTGTCTTTTATAACAAGATTACACGCAATCATTGCATTTGTTTCCCCCTATTACGTATACATTTCTAGTTCTGGATGAGGAGGCCATAGGCGACGTCCTGGCTGCGAGCTGGTTCTCCAAAGCGATCCACGATGCCGGTTCTTGGACTAAGAAGGCGGTCAAAGATGCCGGGGATTGGACCAAGAAAGCCGCCAGTGATGTTGCGGATACTGTCAAGAAGGGATGCGGTGTGGTCAACTCGCTGCCTGGAAAGGAGATGGAGCTAAGTAAGTAGATTGAGTGAGTGAGTGGGTGGGTGGGTGGGTGATTAGATGAATTAATGAATAATTGATTGATTGGTTGATTGGTTGATTGGTTTTATTCATCGAGATGTGTGTGTGTGTGTGTGTGTGTGAGTGAGAGAGAGAGAGAGAGAGAGAGCGAGAGAGAGAGGGAGAAATAGAGAGAGAGAGAGAGAGAGAGATAGAGAAAGAGAGAGAGAGAGAGGGAGAGAGAGAGAGAGGGGGTATTGAGATTATAACAAAGAAAGAGGAATGACAAACATTTTTTTTTGGACAAAAAGTGAAAGGTCTTTAGATTTATATTTGCCCTTTTGGGATTCAAATTTCCTGCAAGGGGGGGGGGGGTACAAATGCAGATGTCATTTAAAAAAAAAGAAGCTTAATGTAGATGAAGGGGGAGGTGACACGTACCACCATGCCTCCCTTCAATCCACCACAGTACTGCTGTTTTGATTAATACCTTTTCTCTTGATTTCACGACAGTGATGCGTAGGGATGAGGTCCTCCGCAAACGTGGGATCAGTGAAGACCAGATTGCCGCTGTGTACGGAGGTTACAAGAACCTAAAGAATGCCTGCAATATGTTGGGTTAAATACCAGTAAGTATATCCCCCTTCTTTTTTCATAAAGTCTAATGATTAGTAGAATTATGGCCGTTAGACACGAAGCGTCTATTGCTGACTGATGCGGCAGTCATTGACGCACACCATGTTGGAGTGTAATCCTACTCAAAGTAAATGTAAATAAACATTTTAAATCAAATTATTATATTACCTCATTGTATCGGGCTAATTTGCCTTTAGTAGCTTCACAATGGAGTCAAAAATGACGCTTCATTTGCATCTGATATAATGTTTAAAGTGTTGATAATATGTGTTACTGATATAGAATACAAGTGCCAAAAAGAAATTTAAAATACTATTTGTGCGCCACACTGTCATGATCCTCAGATCTCTCTCTCTCTCTCTCTCTCTCTTTCTCTCTCTCTTTCTCTCTCTCTCTCTTCTACTCTCTCTCTCTCTCTCTCTCTCACTCACTCTCCCTCACTCCACCCCTCCACTCGCTCTCTCCCTCCCTCACTTCATCCCACGCTCTGTGTGTGTGTGTGTGTCTCTCTCTCTCTCTCTCGTTCTCCCCGCCCGACCCCCTCTCTCTCTCTTTATTCCACTCCCCATCCTTAATTACGACTGATCTTTCTCTATATTTTACCCCAACAAAATTATCGTACTTTACGGTAAATTTCACCTTAATCAGTACTTTTTGTTTGTTTCCAAATTAAGTTTTTTATGCAACAATAATCATAGCGCCTTTACAGTCTATATTCATTTTTTGACTTTTTATGTGGACATGTTGGATGTAATTTTTCCTTTCATGTGGCTGTCACTCCGGGGTCACTCCTGTCATATTATGAAGTAATATCGATAATCATTATTTATATTTGTTATTGCAGGATGTACAGCAAAGAGGACAAGGACGATCGAAAGGAAACACATGTCATGAAGCTCACCTTCCTCATTTAAATTCATCAACAATAATTATCATCTGTTTATCATTTTTCTTATATACTTAGACAGATATGATGCCCGATCGCAGTTGATTTACCGATAAGCAAAGTCACTGCAGTTCTTGATTCATTTTTTTGTTTTCGCTTCAAAATAAAATGTATGTTATTATTCCAATAATCTTTTAAAGCTTACAGTATTTGCGTAACGGAAAGGGATTTGTGAATGACTTGACATTTTAGTGATCATCGTGGGTATATAAATATCAAAACCCGCCGCTTCCACCCTCTTTTTAAGAATGCAGCTTGAAAAAATTGTGAAGACTAAGAAGTCCCCGTACAAATTACATGTCACGTCATATTTAAAATAATGAAGTTTTTTTCATTCCATGACAAACGGGTATAATCATTGTAGTTTGCTGATCGTTCGTCTGAGTAAATTAAAATAAATTGAAGAAGAAAGTAAAACAAGTGCATAGTTTGTTGTATCTTCTGTGATTATGATAACGTGATAAATGATAATCCATCAAAGGTAGGGGAGAGAGAGAGAGCAGTGAGAGAACGAAATAGAGCAAGAGAGAGAGAGAGAGAGAGTGAAAGAGAGAGAGAGAGAGGGGGAGAGAGAGGGAGAGAGAGATGTTGACAGTGGCGGATCCAGGATTTTTGGGCTAAAGATAAGGGGCATATCCAGGGGCGGATCCAGCCGGCGGCAAGGGTGGGGGCCCAATTTGTGAGAAAATATTTAGCGAAAAAGATGGTAAGCACATAATTTTGCATTGTATTTCTTTTTACTCAACACCCATGTATAGGGGAACCCAGGAGGCCTAATGAACAGGAGGACTATGGGTCGTATTCTCATAAGTTAAGCCGGGACTAAGTCCAGACTAAACAAGATTTTTAGTTCACACTTCTATGGAATGCTAGGTTTCATCTTCCTCCTTAAATATTCATGATAAAGATAATCTACCAAAGACTTTGTTGAAATTCAGTTCATACTCATATTATCTTTTTCTTCCCATTTCATTGCAAAATTAATTTTTTGGACACTTTTCATTGAAGGATTAAAATAATCTGTACAGGATAAATTAGTTTGCAACAGGCACTCCATAAAAGTGTGAACTAACTAAGTACGCGCTAACTTAGTACGCGCTACCGGAATACCACCCTATAAGTTCAAGACGAAAATTGAAAAGATGAAATATTGAAGAGATAAATAAATAAAAAAGAAAAAATAGTGATAAAATGAATATATTGAATAGATGAATATAGTTAAGAATGATTAAATAAAAAAGACAAAATAGTGATAAGATGAATATAATTCAAATGATGAATATATCAAAAAGACGAACATAATGAGAAGATGAATATATAAATTGAAACATATATTTAAAGGTAATACAAAGTTTTAGTATAGGGTCATGAATTTGGTTCAAATGCACATTATTGGAAGCATATGCGATCCTACAATATTCAGTGATCGTTGTCGCGGTTGAAATCGAGCCTAAAGTTATGAAATTATAAATAATAATCCCTTGATGATGCAGGGGCGTACGCAGGATTTTTTCAAGGGGGGGGGGGGGTTTAAAATCTGGCCCAAAATATTTTGCTCCCGAAAATTTGAAAATCGCGCCGGCCGAAAAGTCGCTCAGTGGGGGGGGGGGGGGGGGGGGGGGGGCAAGCGGACACTTTTTTTCTTTTCTTTTTTTTGTCTATAAATTTGAAAAAGGGGGTTTTTTTTATAGTTTTTTAGGGGGGTTTACACACATAAAAATACCAAAGGGGGGGGGGGTTTGAACCCCCAAAGCTCCCTCTCGAGGTCAAGATATTATTTAAGCTATAAAACAATGTTTGTTGACTAAAATCGACCGATTAGCTATTCCCATTTGGAAATCACAACTATTCTTCGTCGCAGCTACTATTATATGGCCGTAGGCGCTATTTGAAATTTATCAAAAATTTACCGACTGAGCACCGGTAAATTTTTATAATCAATTTTTCTCGAAAGCAGCAGTGTTTTTGAGGCTAATTTTTCTAGTGCTTCTAATACATCTACAGGGGCATCCAAATATATCAAAATTGTAAAGAATCACCCAATTTTCAAAATTTCACAAAACTTTGTATTACCTTTAAAATAAAGATGAATAGTCTACATTTAACAGATGAATGATAATTTAAAAAGATAAATATATTTATTTAGAGATGAATATAAAAAAATTCAAAAGATGAATATATTTATTCAAATTAATACAAGAGATGAATATATCCCCTTTTGGCTTGCCATACGTTATATACGCGAGCGCCCGCGTTTTGAGCCATAATGGTTGCTTCTCGTTGCACCATCAACACCATCTTGAACAGCAAGTCCATTTATTTTTGGTAATCTTTTCAATTTCGGACTTTCCAGCATTGTCAACGTAATTGAATCCATCATCAGTGAGGAAACTGGATTGGCCTTTCATTGATGATATGAGTGACATTCAGTGGTAGAGTTCTCGGGAAAAGAAAATTCACGTCGTTTTGACCGAGTGTGACTGTTAGTGTTACACCCGTGGAGCCCACGTGTTACACATCCAGATTCAGTTGAGCTTGCGCCGACATCGTACATTCGAGAGCGAAGCGCGCCCGCGGGAAACTTTGAATAGGTGCATTGACGTGCGTGATTAACGCAGACAGGCCAGGCCGCCGAAACTCTCCCGTTTGGTGAGAGTGAGCTGCACCCCCGATTCGTCGACCGTTGCGTTGTGAAGTTTGGAGACGGTTTTCACATTCAGATTTCAGAATGTCGGCCACTCTCTGCTTAGAAGATGGCACCAAGTACACTGGGAAGTTGTTTGGAGCTAACTGCAGTGTTTCGGGAGAAGTTGGTAAGAATTGATTTCATCAATTAACCTTTTAACTGTTTAACTAGGGGTCTAGATCTAGGTTAGGTAATCAAGACTCAAGTCAGACAGTCATCATCAGATCATGGTCATCAGCAAATACATTATTACAAGTTGCAATGTTTGGCCCTGGCAAAGTGGCAAATGCAAATGATGTCTTGACTTTACTCATGTTTGTAGGCCTAGATCTATGCTTGTTTGTTTTTGTGTTTTTTTATTTTTTTTATTTGAACCATGACCATATTTATCTAGATATCTAGATCTAGACCTATAACTAAGGCATGATAACAGAATGGCAAGGCTAATGATATAGGTAGCCTCTAATCGGGCACATGTACAAGGAGGCAATGAATATGCATATCAGTGACGTCGTGTCAATTTATGAATATTGATGTTCTTGACTGCGCGCGTACGATCGTACGTACGTGCGTGCAGAATTGGGGTCATGACTGTACATGAAGGTAATACGTGCAACACAGCGGTTCAGCCAAATCAGGGCAAAATCTTACCATTATACAGTTGTATTGTCCGTGATTATGAGGTAGAAGTGTTTGAGTGTTAAGTAAATTTATTTAGTGTGGATTTTGATACATTTTTGATACAGTTTATACAAAATTGGCGATTCTTTTGGTCGTTGTTTAACTCCATAAAACAAGTGACCAACTCGGTCGTCGGCTAAACCACCTCCCTGTAGATGTGCCCGCCTACCTCTACATGTGCCCGATCGAGATAGGGATCGAGTTGTGTAATAAAATAGTATTCTATATTCAATATCCGAGAGTTAACGGATGTAACATTAAAGCTCCCTTATATATGAGTTTACAACTATCAATTCAACATCTTTGCATTGATTTTCTTTGAGGTATACGTGTTTAACGTTGTCAATACATCACCTCCTTGTAGATGTGCCCGCCTCCCGCTACATGTGCCCGAGATAGGGGATATGTAGTAAGGCATACAACTTAAGTGACTGTGTTGTAGCCTATATTGAATTTCCGACATGTCATGAATATAATAAAGCTTCCTAAGATACAAATAAGTTTCATAAATATCAATTTATCTTCTTTTCATGGATTTTCTTTGGATTCTACGTGTTTTACGTTGTCAAATAACCACCTCCCTGTAGATGTGCCCGCCTCCCTCTACATGTGCCCGAGATAGGGGATATAAAGCATACAACTTAGTGTTGTAGCCTATATTGAATTTCCGACATGTCATGAATATAATAAAGCTTCCTAAGATACAAATGAGTTTCATAAATATCAATTTATCTTCTTTTCATTGATTTTCGTTGGATTTTACGTGTTTTAAGTTATCAAAACATGCACCTCCCTGTAGATGTGCCCGCCTCCCGCTACATGTGCCCGAGATAGGGGAAATGTAGTGAGGCATACAAATAGTGTTGTATATTGAATTTCCGTCGTGTCATGGATATAATAAAGTTTCCTAAGATACAATTGAGTTTCACAAATATCAATCTTCTTTTCATGGATTTTCTTTGGATTCTACGTGTTTTACGTTGTCAAATAACCACCTCCCTGTAGATGTGCCCGCCTCCCGCTACATGTGCCCGATATAGGGGGAGTGTACAGGGCGCGACAAACCGCTTGCCCGACGTCCCGGGGCAACCAAATTGAGCCTTCGGGCAAGTAAATCAAATTATCACTTGCCCGATTCGGGCAAGTGATACTTTTACAGTAATTTCCTAGTGTCCAAGAACTCTACCATTCACCCGTCAACTTCTTACCCGTCGTCAAAATCCAGAAGCAAAAAAGCGATCGTTCCGATTTCGAAAAAAACTTCACAGACAGCTAGCCAGCTCAGCTAGCTCAGCGCGCATGCAACAGTGACACTTCAAGCCATGAATGCCGCTCCGCCTCCACGCACGGCCGGCCGTGAGCTAGCTAGAGACAGCTAGCGCGATCGTACCAGCTGCGAGCTTATTCGCGCTCTCTCTCTCTAGCTCTGCAGGCCGCACCGACAGGCCTTTGCTATTCTCTGATTGCCGATTGGTTGAATTACGCCAAATATGACGTCATTATTCTAGGGAAATGAACACGTGCGAATCGGAATGGAATAAACAACAGGGATTTTCTAGTAAGTACAAAAAGTCAAATGTTTGATATTTATTCATAATGACTGTTAATGATTGTGAACATATTATTTAAAACTCGCTGCTCATATAAATCAGATGAATGTTTTTGTCTCGTTTTCAATTTATTACTGCGGTCTCAAGATCCGACCGAGCGAGTCATTTTGATAATAGTATCGAGACCCCCAGAATATAAGCCGTTGTTGTTTTGTTTTCATGGTTTTAGCGACGTTGTTTAGTCTAGTTTTCGCATACTTATCCGAGATTTATCGTAAAATATCTTCAATATTATTATTTAGTAAGAATTTACAAATTTTGGCATGATATTTATAGCAGTGAATGATGAAATAAAAATGTCCGTACTTTATTTAAAATAGTTGATTACCCATTATTTACATGACGTTTCTTGATGGAAGAGTTGACCCAAATTATTAACAGCTGAAAATTAGCCTACGTTTCCAAATGACAGCGGCTTGCACAGACACACATGTGATGTTGCACCATGGTACATGTGGCTACCATTAATGACATGTTTGTATCATATTTTTTACAACAGGGTCATTATGCTTTTTTACATGACTGAATATTAAAAACTTAAACCTGCTTGAACCATTCTACCTTGCCGAGATTCATGTGAATCTGATTATTTATGGAGAATCAATAAAATGCGTTTTTTAAACCTTCAACCATCCTTTGTTGACCATTTTCTTTGACATATTAGGTTATTATTCAGTACAGTTACACTGTACATGTATGTGCATTAATTTGCTATCTAAAACACTAACTTATCATTACGAGATAATAAATGCTTTAACCTCGAGTCCTTTTTCGCTTTAAAGTTTTGGGCAAGTGGAAATATTGTTTGGGCAAGTAAATTGAAAACCCACTTGCCCGACAGGGCAAGTGGTGAAAAAAATTCTTGTAGCACCCTGGTGTAGAAAATAGGCATACAACTACTGTTGTAAATTGAATTTCCGACATGAATGTAAAGGATGTCATTTCACCATTATTTGTAAACAACCGTTATGGAATTAGAAATAAACCACGTTTGAATTTTATTTCCCCAAAGCCCCCCCCCCCCCCCCCCCGATCTACACCTTGTTGGAATTGCAACTGATATCCCTTACCTATCTTCATTCTCTTTTTTTCTTCTTTTTCTTTCTCTCCTCTTTCCCTTTCCCTTCCCTTCCTTCCCTCTCTCTCTTTTAGATTTGCTGGGGGTGGGGGCAAGGTCATTTTGACCCCACCCGCTCCACACATTGTTGGCGGGATTAACCGCAACTGATCTCCCTTCTTTTCTCCCTTTTCTTTTCTTCTTCCTTTTTTGGTTCCCTTTTAGCTCTCCTCTTTTCCTTTTCATTCCTTTTCTCTTTTTTTAGCAGGGACGGGGGGGGGGGGGGGGGGGGGGGGGGGGGGGGCAAGGGCCTTCCCCCCTATCCACAACTTGTTGGCGGGAAAATTGCAACTGATATCCCCCTTCTTTTGTTTTCTTCTTCCTCTTTTTCCTTCCTTTGTCTCCTCTTTTCCTTTTTTCTTTCCCTTTCCTTCCTTCTCTTTTATTTTTTGATTGGGGGGGGGGGGGGAACAGCCTGGAAGGCAAGTCCCCCCCCCCCCGATCTCCTTCTTCCCTCTTTTCTTTTCTTCTTCCTCTTCTTTTTTCCCTTTCTCTCTTTCCCTTTCCCTTCTTTTCCTTCTCGCTCTCTCCTTTTTTTTTTTTTTTTTGGCTGGGGGGCTCGGCCCTCCCTTGATCCGCGCTTGGTAACACCTACCTTTTAACTTTGTTTAACAGTGTAGAGGCCTGTATTTAAAATCAGTATCCTTTAATATGATTGTTGATTATTACTCAGTATACTTTTGAGTAATTTATTTGTTTGATAACGATTCATTTGACGGACTACTTTCTTTGGGTATGTTAATGTTTTCTGTAAGGTAATTTGTTTGTGTAAATATAATATAACAGTGTTTCAAGAACGAAATAGTGCATACGAGCAGGGGCGTCTCCAAAGAGGGGAGTGTGGGGGTGCGATAACCCCCCCCCCCCCCCCACCTGTCAGGATATTGTCGGTAAAATTGCGCTGCCGTCGAAAAAAGAAATAAGGGGGAGGGGAAGAAAGAGAGGGAAAGAAAAGAAAAGAAAATAGGAAAAGGAAAAGAAAGGAAAGAAAGGAAAAGAAAGGAAAAAAGGGAAAAGAAATGAGAGAGAAAAAGAGGGAGGAGAGGAAAGGAAGGAAAAGAAAGAAAAGAAAAAAAGGAAAAAGGAAGAAGAAAACAAAAAGAGAAAAAGGAAACAAGTGGAGTTAAGAGCCTGATAGAGGAGGGGTGGGAGTAAACGAGAGAGGGGGTTGTTGGGTGGAGTTGTCTCGTCGAGGGAGCAAGAAAGACACGCGGGGTTGGGCCGGAACACGAGCCTACTTACTGTCCGGAGAGGGGTGAGAGGTAGGGGGGGGGCACTTCGGAATTGTGATTTGTTTGAGACTTTGGGGGATAGGGGGCTTGAACACTTTCGGACCTTGACGGTTTTCGCGTCATGTATCGTACAAAGAGATAATGCAATCCAAATATGAATCAAACATTTATTGTCTTTTTTGTTGGGGTGAGGGTGATGGTGATGGGTAAGGAGGTCTGATAAGGTCTTTTTAGTGCAACACAATTAAAGTAAAAAATGCCGTGAGAAATTTGTCTTCGTTTTTATTTTGGGGTGGGATATCTAGCCCTCGTAGCAACAAGGGGGCCTGATATAATGATAAACACAGAACAAACACATGAAAAATACGGAATGTAAACATAAATTTGAATGCAGGTTCAATAAAAAATAATCATTGATTAATTCATTCGAGACATGGTAAATTCAAAGCAAACACAGAAAATAAATGTAATAGTTATTCGAGTCGATATATACATGCTTAAAGGTTCACACACGAAATATATATAATCAATTAATTTCAATAACCAAACCATAATAAAAAGAAAGAAAATACAACAAAGGGAACACATAGAACGAAAATTAAGGCTGATGTAAGTTGTCATGAAACAAGATAGATAATTATAGAACAAACACATCATAATATACATATCACCTGTCAATTCATCATACACATTGAGAACAGGAATATATTGTTGTGTTTTTTGTTATGTTTTTGTGAAAAAGCATTATATATTGTCATCCTATATGCTCACTGTCTCCCACGAGTTTGAAATAGTGTCTTATTGTCGGGGTCATCTCGTAGGAGAGGTTGGTAATCATAAAGCATATATATATATTGTCTTACTGTCACGTTCTAAATCTGTCTTTTTTTTTCGGTCGAGGTGGTTTCCTTGTAAAATATATCGTCTTGTCACCAAAGATTAGCCAATCAGTTGAGGGGGGGGGGGATATTTCACACAAGGGGGACAAATTACGATAGGATTACGTGTGTGTTATGTTTCCCTTTTTGTCACCACTGGAGCGGGGGAAATATATTAGCTAGATTATGGGGATGTTTTTATATAATTATCAAAGCTTAAAGAAAATAAAGGCCTACTTTTAAAAAGACATAAAATAGGGGACACTACCGTTTGCTTAATGCCTTACGATCGCAAAATCGTATCTTATTTGACTTAAAATCTTGAAAATATTACTTCCTTACATTATTATGAGGAGGAAAAAAAATCGTGCAATATTGTATATTTACGAAAAGTTTGAATATTATCTAACTCCCTACAACCAGGGGCGTCCCCAAATGGGGTGTGGGGGTGCGACACCCCCGCCTGTCAGGATATTGTCCGGAAAAGGAGGAAGAAAGAGAAAAAGAGGGAGGATAGGAAAGAAAGGAAAAGAAAGAAGAAGAGATAAAGAGGAAGGATAGGAAAGAAAGGAAAAGAAAGAAAAGGAAGAAAAGGAGCAAAAGAAGAAGAAAAAAGAGAAAAAGAAAACAAAAGAAACAGGGGGTGAAAGAGAGAGAGAGAGAGAGAGGGGGGGGTGAGTAAGAAAGAGGGGGTATGTTTGGTGGAGTCGCCACGTCGAGGGAGCAAGAAAGATACGCATAGATATAATATATATAATATAATATAATGTCTGGCTACACCATTATCTCGGGCACATGTAGCGGGAGGCGGGCACATCTACAGGGAGGTGATTGTTAGACAACGTAAAACACGTAGAATCCAAAGAAAATCCATGAAAAGAAGATAAATTGATATTTGTGAAACTCAATTGTATCTTAGGAAGCTTTATTATATCCATGACATGACGGAAATTCAATATACAACACTGGTTGTATGCCTCACTACATTTCCCCTATCTCGGGCACATGTAGCGGGAGGCGGGCACATCTACAGGGAGGTGCATGTTTTGATAACTTAAAACACGTAAAATTCAACGAAAATCAATGAAAAGAAGATAAATTGATATTTATGAAACTCATTTGTATCTTAGGAAGCTTTATTATATTCATGACATGTCGGAAATTCAATATAGGCTACAACACTAAGTTGTATGCTTTACTACATATCCCCTATCTCGGGCACATGTAGCGGGAGGCGGGCACATCTACAGGGAGGTGGTTATTTGACAACGTAAAACACGTAGAATCCAAAGAAAATCCATGAAAAGAAGATAAATTGATATTTATGAAACTCATTTGTATCTTAGGAAGCTTTATTATATTCATGACATGTCGGAAATTCAATATAGGCTACAACACTAAGTTGTATGCCTTACTATTATCCTTTATCTTGGGCACATGTAGCGGGAGGCGGGCACATCTACAGGGAGGTGGTTGTTTGACAACGTAAAACACGTAGAATCCAAAGAAAATCCATGAAAAGAAGATAAATTGATATTTGTGAAACTCATATATAATACTGTAATAAATAATAATAATAATAGCCTAATAGTCCACTCCAAATTTTATTAAACCGAAACGGAAATTCTTTTTGCCCAATTGATCGTGAGCCCGGCAGCCACTGAGCAGCGCCAGATCGACGTTGCTCTATCCCTTATTGTTGAACGCCAAACAAGGTAGCAACAACTCCCATCTTTTAACGTCTTTTGGTATGACGCGGCCGGGGTTTGAACCCACGACCTCCCGGTTGTGAGGCGGACGCTCTACTGACTGAGCTTTAATGTTACATCCGTGAACTCTCGGATATTGAATATAGAATACTATTTTATTACACTAACTCGATCCCTATCTTGATCGGGCACATGTAGAGGTAGACGGGCACATCTACAGGGAGGTGGTTTAGCCGACGACCGAGTTGGTCACTTGTTTTTTGGAGTTAAAAAACGACCAAAAGAATCGCCAATTTTGTATAAACTGTATCAAAAATGTATCAAAATCCACACTAAATAAATTTACTTAACACTCAAACACTTCTACCTCATAATCACGGACAATACAACTGTATAATGGTAAGATTTTGCCCTGATTTGGCTGAACCACTGTGTTGCACGTATTACCTTCATTGTACAGTCATGACCCCAATTCTGCACGTACGTACGATCGTACGCGCGCAGTCAAGAACATCAATATTCATAAATTGACATGACGTCACTGATATGCATATTCATTGACCTCCTTGTAGATGTGCCCGATTAGAGGCTACCAATGATATAGTCTAGGCTACATTGCACATTTTTACATGCAGTGTCTTTATTTGTCGGTCTGTACTCTGTGCAGTTTGTTTTTCTCTGACTGAGTACTGAGCTGAGTCTGAGTCCGACTCTGACTCTCTGATAACTCCACCAGCTCTTGAGGGCCTGCATAGAAAAACGATTCAAACAGCGAGTTGGGTCACATTTTTTTCGAAATGTAAAGAAGAAGTAATTACAATTTTGACCTAGATCTACCATGTTTTTCAACTCCTCTGGGCATCCTTTCCACCACTTGAAATTATAATTTGAAGAAGTAATTTCAAGTGGTTGAACGGATGCCCAGGAGGAGTCGAAAAACAATGTAGGCCTTAGAAGTCAAAATTGTAATTAGACCCTACTAGAGTCTAACTTACTTCTTTACATTTCAAAATAATGTGACCCAACCCGCTGATTGAATCGTTTTCCAAGACTATTTTTTTTTTCTACTCGTAGTCGTACTAAGCACTTGAAAATTGGTTAAGAATTAAACCAAAAATGTGACAATTTGATTCCTGAGTGACAGCAAGTTTGCTTACCTTCCACGTGTTCTCTCACCTTCCATGTGTTCTTGATGATAATAAATAACATGCAATACACATTTTTTTAAATGCTTACTTCTCACGAGAGTTTGCATTTTTTGGTTCTATCCAAATTGCAAATACACATCAGGACTCCTCAATCCTCCCTCTCTCTCTCACACTGTGCACCCGCAAGCCTACTTTATAAATACACATGATGATGCAATGATGGTGTAGTCTACACGAAAATAGCTGTTTCCACCTTAGAGTCTGTTTTGTCAGTACTGTATTCTTGTCAATATATTTTTAGGGTTTGAATTTTCGCATGAAACTTCACAAACTGTAAGTGATGGCCTTTTTTTCAGAAAGGCTTAGAGAATAGAGACTACTTTTTTTCTCCAAAATTTAGGACAATCCGTCGGGTGTGAGAAGGTTTGATTTTGGACACATTTTAGGGTTTGTTTACATGCCTCTCCGCATGCTTGTATGGGAGCCGTTTAAGGCTTGGTGATATCAATATCATAAAAATATTATCACCAAGCCCTCAAGGCTATCCCAGATCAGAAAGTGAATTATGTTCAAGCTTGATGTGTGTTGATCTTTTATACATCATTTACATGTACAACTGTACTTTCAAAAAGTGCACTACCAGTAAACACTTCTCAGGAAAACAAATTTACATAGATGAATATAATATAAGATACCTTATCAACACATCCACAGGAGCTGAAGAACTCCATCTCTTCAACATCTTTTAAAAGCAACCTTAAATCCCATTTGTTTAATTTTGCATTTTGATGACAGACATTCATTCATTCTTTAATTTTTGCATTTTCTGTCTTATGTAAATGTACACGATTCTTTGTCATAATGAAATGTGTTCCCTAATATTTTGAAGTGCCTTTAGCATTTAATTAAAATGGATAATGGCACTATATAAATCTCATGTATTATTATTATTATCCCACCCCTTGAAGTCTCAGGATTCATCGTCATCAATGATCCTTACTTTTTCTTTTATATTCAGTGTTTCAGACTGGCATGGTAGGCTATCCAGAGTCCCTGACTGACCCCTCCTACAAGTATCAGATTCTCATCCTAACCTACCCTCTCATTGGAAACTATGGCATCCCGCCCAACGACAAGGATGAGTTTGGCCTCCCTCTCTGGTTCGAGTCGGAGAAGATTCACGTGTCGGCGCTCATCGTCGGAGAGCTGTCCGAGTACTACAATCACTGGGCAGCTGCCAAGTCGCTCAGCGACTGGTTGAAAGAACATAACATTCCTGCTATACAAGGTGAGTGTTTCACAGGCCTGATAAAAATCTGATTTAAATCGTTTCCCAATTTTTTTCCTAATTATTTTTTTCTTCCCTATTTTTTTGATTTTTTTTTTTATCTTCCTGATATTATCCCAATTTTCTAGATTTTTCCCTATTATTTCCCAATTTTTCTTACTCAAAAGAGGGAAATGTTGTTGGATGCTTTTTTTTCCCGAATCCTCTTTTTGTATAAGACGCACCTCCGACTTAAGATTTTTGCCGATGGAAAAAAGTGTGCCTTATACACGGAGATTTACGGTAAGCCAATAAAATGGAAATTACACTAAAGGAAAGTACGAAATGGTTGGATAATCAAAAAAGTTACAGAAACTTAAACATTGTAGGTATACACCAAATGCACTAATTCACACCCCCAAAAAAGGGACAAAAAAAATAATACAATAATAATTGTTGTCAATTTGGGGATGGAAAACTTATTGATTTAGAAAATAAGGGGTATAACCGAACCTTGAATTAATTGTTATTCCTGCCTTTATTTCTTTCAGGTATCGATACAAGAGCTCTCACAAAGAAGATCAGAGAGCATGGAACTATGTTGGGAAAGGTAATAATTAGCATTTATTTCATCGATTAAAAGAAAAAGAAGATGTTTAAAGACAAATAGAAGTGGGTTCTCATTTGGAATTCGACACCCGGGCCATTCTGGTGTTTACCCAATAACAGGTGTTGTCAATCACAGAGATTAGCCTTCAATTTTATGACCAACATGCTTTATACAATGCTTTGTTGTTTTCCAATATGACATTTGCATCCCCGAAGACTCTACGAGAAGAAGGGGGTATTTCTTGATTGACCTACAGGTTTCATGTGTACATCCATTAATGGTATTTCAACCAAGTATGGTGTCTGTGAATTATGACCTTCTGTACAAGGAGACTGACGACTCGCTCCTTTTAAAAATTGCATTCTTCTGGGATGCAAATATATTGATAATGAACAAACTTGTAAATGGGATGAGAAATTCATCTCATTTAGAATTTTTCCCATCCCTAATTTATCAAACTTCTCATCTCATCATGAGACAAGAATAAAGTTTTGAAAAAAAAATGCTTTAACAGTTTGACATGGGCATGAAAAAGGTGAATCATTTAAGTAATTTGTTTTAGAATGTCACGAAACACCTATTCTCAGAAGAAGAAGAAATGGTCAATATTTAGTAAGTGAAACAAGCATTATTAATCGTTCCAAATGGCTCTAAAAATCATAATATAATTACGTGAGGCTTTCGAATTTTGAAGTTCTTACATAGGGCTCACACATTTTTTGTTATCCATTTGAAAGATTATCATCCAATTCTCCTCTCTTTTTCACTTAGGTGATTGTTGAAGGTACTAAACCAGAGGCCATTCCATTTGAAGATCCAAACCTTCGCAATCTCATCGCCGAAGCTTCTACGACCGTATGTATCCATCTGTATATTTGATTTGATTTGATTTTATTTATTTATTTCTGTTTGATTTTCTTTTTCTTTTGCATTTTAACAAATATATAACAAACAAATATTGCAAATTGACACATGACAAAAGAATATATGTAGAATAAAGTAAGGCTGGCTGTAACTAATCGAAAACATCAAACAGGAGGGTTGACAAAGTAAGCAAAGCTTGATATTCTGCAATATTTACTGTAAATCAGATGGGGTTCTGTGAGTCATTTGTCTCAAATTAATGATGGAACAGTGCAAAGTTTCATAAAAGGCATTGTTTAACTATGTTTCCAGTTTTACAAGTTTAATATGTATGGCCATACATGTTATCAGTGTCTGTGATATGGCCTAATATTGAAACCCTCATAAAATTGCGCTTCAAAATGATAATGAAGTGCCTCAAGAAAGTAAAAATCTTTGAGTGACCGGTTTTACCATACTCATTTTCCCCAGTAGACAGTAGTGTTATGAAAACCATTAGGAAGATGTGTTTTGAAATTTTGATTTCCAATCATAAATATCTTGATAATCAGACAGGGGATGGGCTTGTAAATGTCATGGGATCTTGACTGATCTAAAGGTTTACAATTATGATTACATAAGCTAAATTCAGATATCCAATCCCTTTAATACAAATGTAAATCTTTTGTTGTTGTAATTATTATTTTTTTGCTTGTGGGTTATAAGGTAATGCAGATCTTCAAGTTCACCCACAAATGAGTAGAATACCTCTCCAATTCCATAACTGAAACCCTACCGAAAAATCAGGAATATCCTGATTTTCTGGATTTTTAGGACCTGAAAATTCAGAATATTCTGATTTTTCAAAATTTCGATTTTTTTTTTTTTTTTTTTTTTCTTTTTTGGGGTGCTAAAGCCAAATTAAGCTTGTTTTATCATGCGCCGCGATTTGAAAGTTTGTGTATTGCGTGCGTTGAATGGCTGCATGATCGAGCAGCGAATTTGTATTCGCTTTTGGTACAGATTCATATTGCCAGTTACACTGCGACTGCAAGTGCGATTTCTTATTTTTTAAGGCATACCGTGCTAAACATTCCTAATTGTTATTTTCAAATGTTGGCAGGTATGCAATTCTCCCTGAAAAGGATCAATGTTATTGTATTGGGGGGGGGGGGGATGTATTTGACTAATCTGCAACCGAAAATCAAAATCAGTAAAGATATGGCAAACCAAAAAAACAAACTTGATGTTAACCAATAAATTGCAATAACCATGTACTATGTGTCTTTGTCGAAGAAACCAATTCAATAAACATGTACTGTGTGTCTTTTTCAAAGAAATCAATTCAATAAACATGTACTATGTGTCTTTTTCAAAGAAACCAATTCAATAAACATTTACTATGTGTGTTTTTTCCAAAGAAACCGATCGTGTATAACAAGGGAGCACCAATTCGAATCACGTCAATCGATTGCGGCATGAAGTACAACCAGATCCGCCTCCTGGCCCAGCGGGGGGCCCAGGTTACCGTGGTCCCTTGGGACCATCCTCTCAATATCGCAGGTAACATTGACCGCTCTTGCATCAGGGCTCCGTTGCATGAAACTTACCATTGGCCAGAATTTGGTCATAAGCAGTAGGTGGTTTTGAATATGCCTCAAGTCACTGCTTTAGTGTGTTGAATGTGCGTGAGCTAAAAGTTTATTTCATTGCCTGCGCAAAGAAAAGACTTTGTTTATATGTACTACATGTACATGTAGCAGAAAAAAAGGAGTAATGGTCAGATTTGGGTCATAATCAGTTGGTGGTTTTGAATAGGTTTCAAGCCAGTGCTTTAGTGTGTTGACTGTGCTGAGCTAAAAGTTCATTTCATTGCCGGCCCAAGGAAAAGACCTTGTTTTTATTTACAAGCAGAAAAAAAAAGGAGTAATGGTCAGATTTGGGTCATAAGCAGTTGGTGGTATTAAATAGATTTCAAGCCACTGCTGTTGTGTGTTACCCCAACTTGGGATCATTTTGTTGTTCATACAGACAGACCTTGAAGCGAGGAGCTCTGTGAGCATACAAAAGGTGTTAGGTTAGGACTTTGACCTGTGATAAAGGAATAGCCGTCAAATACTTGGTATTTGGATAAAAGCATGCATAATTGGAGAGCGAGAAAAAGCCCAACTTATTGATTAAGCCTGCAAAGGATAGTCTACAAACGAAAACATGTAAAATTGGAATGTGGAAGGAGTATGAAGTGATGTATAAGAAGTGCAAAGTCCCTTGATGCCGTGACTCCAGGCCTTGATTAAGGACTCTTTGGGTGTTTCACAAAGATTCTAAGACGAACTTAACTCTAAGTTGGGCTTAAAAGTTATGGAGAGCCATTTGTAGCTTTAAAATGAAATATATTCAAAAGCAAAAAATCAAGTATTTTAGACTGTTTTATAAATTCCACATCAGTAACATGAAATCTCCTTTAAAATAGAAAATATGAAAGATTTGAATCAACATTTTATGCTTTTTTTAAATAACTTTTACAAATTATTTTCAAAGATGCTAAAGGCTTGCCATAATTGTTAAGTCCAACTTAGCGATAAGTTCAACTTAGGATCTTTGTGAAACACCCCCCCCCCCCGATGTTCTTAGATGGACTTTGGTGCAATCTGAGTGTATTTGTAGCATTTTCAAAGTCATTTTATGACTAATAATTCATAAAATAATTTAGTGTGAGAATGATTATTAAACTGTTGCTGACTTTCAAGCCTGTAGAAAAAAAGAATAAGATGAAATACAAAAAAGAGAAAGTAAGGGAGAGGAGGAAAAATAAAATAAAAAGAAGATGAAAGGAATTCTGCAGTCGCACACCCTGTTAGTATGTTTGATATGCCAGGCATGGTGGCTCAGTGGTTAGATGCTCGCCTCATGAACGGGAGGTCGTGGGTTCGAACCCCTGCCGAGTCATACCAGAGACTTATAACAATGGGACCTTCTGCCTTCTAGCTAGGCGCTCGGCATATTAGATTGGAGAAGGGTAGTAATAACATATTATGTTATGCAGGGCCCGCTGGAAGAGCAGTTTCATAACTGAAGTGGCTACCCTGGGTAAATAAAACATTATTATTATTATTATTATTAAGAATCTGGAAAAAGTCTCCATAAACGTGAATTTATCAAAAACCTTTTCTTTTTGTGTCTCCAGATTTTGACGGTCTGTTCATCAGCAACGGTCCCGGTGACCCCAAGATGGCGGAAGTCACCATCAACAACATCCGCTCCATCCTGAACGAGACGACGACAAAGATCAAACCGGTCTTTGGTATCTGTATGGGGCATCAGCTTTTGTCCCTCGCTGTCGGAACAAAGGCTTACAAGATGAAGTATGTTAAAGGGATCGTTTAACAATGTTTCCAGTTTTACAAATCTGAGATGCATGGCCCTCAATGTCTGTGATATGGGTTAATATTGAAGCCCTAAAAAAGTTGCGCTTCAAAATTTTGTTTAGAATATGAAACAAAGATACCCAAACCCTTTAAAGGCATTAATAATGTTAAATCTGAGATGCATGGCCCTACGTGTTATCAGTGTAATATGGTGTAATATTGAAGCCCTAAAAAAATTTGCGCTTCAAAATGATCAAGATGTGCCTCAAAAAGGTAAAAATCTTTGAGTGACCAGTTTTACCATACTCATTTGGTGTGTTTTTAACCTTTTATTTTCATGAAGGCCGATTGGCATACAAAATGGACAGCATTTAACAATGAGCTTCACCAGCTGAATTTGCGACTCCAATACCTAATGACTCATTATGGGTTTTATCCATAACCTAAACAATTTTTAAAACACATTTTCACTACACAGGAAATCCCAAAATAAGTGAAAGTATTTGTCCAAACGGTTCTATGTAGAAGACGAAATAGCAAACAAAGAGCTAATCTGGTGTCACGTTTGTTTTCTTCAGGTACGGCAACCGCGGTCACAACCAGCCGTGCACCCACAACGGAACCGGCCGGTGCTACATCACCACCCAGAACCACGGCTTCGCCATCGACACCAGCAAGCTCCCCGAGGGCTGGTCGGTGCTCTTCACCAATGAGAACGACAAGACCAACGAGGGGATCATCCACGACACCAAACCATTCTACACCGTCCAGTTCCACCCGGAGCACATGGGCGGGCCGCAGGATCTTGAGGTTCTGTTCGATGTCTTCATGGATACGGTGAAGGACTTCAAGGCGGGCAAAAGCGAGATGTAAGTTTTCTACTGCCATAAGTCTCTTCTTCATTTCAATTAAATTTAATTCATTTATTTTTCCTCTTTCAATTGTTCATATTTACAATGATGGTACATTTTAACATATTCACATATTGATATACATATAGATCAATATGCACAATACATTACATTAACAAAATAAACATGAAATTGAAAGGGAAGGAGGGCCTTTGTATCTCTTCTGCCATTCATGGCTGGAGAAAAAAAGGAGTGCTGACGAGCATCATTGAATGTATAGGGTGTAGAGTATTTCAATTATTATTGTCTACGTCTGTACAACAGAGATAAAGCAAGAAATGTTGAGCTTCAGCTAGTGTTATAGGTCTACACAGTCCATTGTCGATGGTAACTAGGTGGCTTCTGTATCATGCCTATAGAAATCTGAGAATTTAGTAATCAGCAGGTTATTTGTGGATTTTTTAATTTTTAATTTTTTGGTAGATAACTCTCTGCCTTTATCATTCTGTTACACCCAGTGACTGTTTCCCAAAGTATTCAAGATATTCTTAGCCAGTGTGAGTAGCACTTAACTTGCAGATACAGTCAAACCTGTCTATAGCAACGTCCAAGGGAAACACAAAAAGTGGTTTTTGTAGACAGGTTCCTTTATTACATGTTTCAATGAGAAACCATTTTCAAAGGAATTAATAATGTGGTCTTTATAGACAGGTGGCCTTTGGAGACAGTTGGTCACTAAAGCAGGTTTGACTGTACTATTATGTTGTTTTTATTCTTTGTCACAGAGTGACCGTTAAGCAGAGGATTCAGGACATCCTGAACTTCAAGGCCTTACCAGGTACCCCGACCCCAGACACCCAACCTCAGAAGGTACTCATCCTGGGGTCAGGGGGTCTATCCATCGGTCAAGCAGGGGAGTTTGATTACTCGGGTTCACAGGTAAGACTTTCACACACATCCATTTTTATGCCTCTGTTACGAAGTAGCCGGAGGCATTATATTTTCAGGTTGTACGTCCGTCCGTACGTCCCGTTTTCGTGATCGCGTTATCTTAAGAACCGATTGATGGATTCTTGCCAAACTTAGTTCATGTATGTATCTTGCAGAGCCGATGAATTGATTAGATTTGGGGGTCACAAGGTCAAATGTCAAAGGGCTCATTATTTATGCAAAAAGAGCTCGTGATCAAGCTATTTAAGGAATTCTTGTAACATTTCCTACTTGCCAAATGACATGAGTAAACTTTATTTCCTTCATTTTTTTTCTTCTTTACATTTTATTCCTACAAGGCCATCAAAGCACTGAAAGAGGAAGGCATACACACCGTTCTTATCAACCCCAACATTGCAACGGTTCAGACGTCTAAAGGCTTGGCTGACAAGGTTTACTTTCTCCCCATAACACCAGACTATGTGACACAGGTGAGTAGGGTAATCCGGCAGTATGTATGAAATAAATTGAGTCTTGGGTAGAAGGTAAGTTTGGTGTACATGTACATTCAGTGTCGAATGAATCCGAAGGAATCAAGGAGACTATTCCAGTCTATACCAGTGCAACTGAAAATGAAGTGTTTCACTCCAGAAGTTTTGCATGGCTGTAATGCTTCTTCTTTCTGTTTTTGATCAGTCTCCATCAGCTTTCTTTTCTCTCTTGACATACTCGTCATCTGATCCAATTGGACACTTGCAGGCACTTGGTAAAAGATAGAGAAATAAACTAACCATAAACTTCTATCATATTTGATGCCAGATTCAAGTTAGCCACCAAAGATCCTAAGAGATAAGATCAACACCCCCTTCTACTACCCATCCTCTCCAACCGGCGCTATAGTTTCTTTAGAACTGTAAGCTCAAGAAAGATTACCAACAGTCCTTTTCAGGACTACACACACGCTCAAGAAAGAAAGATTACCGACAGTCCTTTTCATGACTCCCCAATCCTCCCCCTCTCTCTCATGTGCAACCGTAAGCCTACTGTATATCTACATCACCATGCAAGCCAATACTTGTAAAGCAGCATCCAAGATAAACACTGTAGAAATATTCTTAAACATACACATAGATGTCTTCTTGGATTTGCATTCTAAAGCTCTTTGCTCTCGATCTGAATATGAACTGTGTTCTCCATATTTGGTAGAAGTACATTGTAATGGTCAATTTATTCCACTATTCAAGACGATAAAATTAATTGGATTTGAGAATAATCCTCATTTTATAAAACCTTTATTTGGCTGATATATGAGATAAATTGTGAATGGGGAAGTTATCAGAATATCTATTGCAAAATATATTACTCATTGCGGATATAGTATCGGATATGAGGAAGTTTTGCAGCAGCGCACAAAATGTTGTGATCTTTTAGATCCCTTGTTGACCATACATTGCGAGACAAACGAATATCACTAGCTATATTATTTCCAAGAATATCTATTGTTTGCCCTGCAGGTCATAGAGAGTGAGCGACCGGACGGCATCCTCTTGACCTTCGGAGGTCAGACTGGTCTGAACTGCGGGGTCAAGCTCGAGAAGAGCGGTGTCCTGCAACGCTACAACGTCAAGGTCTTGGGAACCCCCGTCAAGTCCATCGAAGACACGGAGGACAGGAAGATCTTTGCTGATCGTATGCAGGAGATCGGGGAGCAGGTGGCTCCTAGCTCGGCTGCTTATTCTGTCGATGAGGTGCGTAGTCCCACCCTAAAGAAGTTTTGCAGTGGTATCATATATCATGTGATGCACCTGTTCTTGAATGAAGAGGTCATGTTTTTATGCTCTTTTTTAATATAGGACGACATTCAATCAAACAGTGAATTGTATGTTTGTTCACAGAAAAAAAAAACTGAAAGTGTTATTCACAGAGGTAAACAACATTTAATGAATGGATAAATTTAGTGAATCTATGATGATATCCCATGTTTTTTACGACAATAGTTTTGAAATTTATATTTATCCTCCGTCAAGGCCTTCAAAGTAGTCTAGTGCCTAATTTATTCTGTGCCGGTATAAGAATGTATGTGGAAATATATCATACGGGAGAAGTAAAGAGATTTGAAAATACCACTCATTGCTGATGTGAGAGGTTAAAGCCTATCTGCACTACTTTAGCTAGGAGGGATTAGACCTTTCTGCATGGTCACTGACAGACCGGTGATTATCTCAGCAAATCAGCTCTCAGTTAACATAAGAGAAAAGGGACCACGGAGGACCAAAGGTCACCACTTAGGCATTGTTTTCTAAATAGAGGGCGCAAGTAGCTATAAGTAGTGCAGTGTGGCTTCAATGTATTCATCCCCTTTTTTCTACATTCCACTGTTTAAAGGTCATCGAAGCAGCCAATCACATTGGCTATCCTGTGCTTGTCCGAGCCGCCTATGCCCTTGGAGGACTGGGGTCAGGGTTCGCCAACAACAACGATGAGCTCCTCATACTGGCCAACGCTGCGTTCGCCCACACCACCCAGGTCCTCGTCGACAAGTCACTGAAAGGATGGAAGGAGGTAGAGTACGAGGTCGTACGAGACGCTTACGACAATTGCATCACCGTGAGTCCTCAACATTCTTTCTTTGTGACCATATACTAGAAAACATCAGTAAATAGTTTACCCATACTAATATACAAATAGTGAATGGTCATGAGTGCAATGGTACAAGATTTTGCACGAGGTGAAAGATAAGAGACGCTATATGGAGCGTCTCATCTTTCACCGAATGCAAAATATTGTTCCATTGCACGAATAAAGACCATTCATTATTTGTTTTATACAACACCTCGGACGTTAACAGGCTTAAAACAGTTTTCCTAGGCCTAAATCTCTACGATATTTTGTTTGTTTTCAATTGATGAAATTGCTGATAGTGAGCGCGCACTATTAAGCAGGCAGCAAACCACGCGCGTACCATGCGCCGCGATTACCGACCTTTATGTTTAATGTGACGTAGAGTGCACTCTGACGTCACTTAGCTCACCATATACTTTGTATATAGTTAGTGACGTCAGAGTGCAATGGTGCGAAAGGATCAAACGGAATTGCACGGCTGGAGAATGATGCCGTTCAATGGTACTTTTAGCGCATGTCATGTGATCAAGAATTGACCAATGAGGTTGCAAGAATCTTAGTAGGTGTTGTATAATGGCAGTTAATGTGATGTAGTCGGGCCTTTTTTTTTACATAGTTCAGAAGGCCTATATAATAATAATAATAATAGCTAGTTCTTGTATAGCCCTTTTCAGGACCGCAATTATTATTACTACCCTATCCAACATAGAATGCAACATGCTAAGGTAAGCATTTTGTATCCCAACAGGAAAAAAAAAGATGATTTTCGCAAATTGCATGCCCATGTGGAATTTCCCTCTTCTTTTCAGGTTTGCAACATGGAGAACATTGACCCTCTGGGAATCCATACGGGTGAATCTATCGTAGTAGCACCTAGCCAGACCCTGACCAACATAGAGTACAACATGCTACGGAAGACGGCCATCAAGGTCATCAGACATCTAGGTGTCGTCGGAGAATGCAACATACAGTATGCCCTCAACCCAGAGTCACATGAGGTAGGACCTCAGGAGAGCTTTGATTCCTTCTTTGCCAACAAATTTATAAACAAATGTCATAAATTAACTTTTAACCTTAAAAAAGGTGTTAAAAATTGTGACCTGACATGCCTATTTATTCTTGAATAGGGCATAAAAAAAACTGTTTCATAGGAATCAGCGTCACAATGGGGTACCTTTCTTTGTGTCAGGATGAATAACGGCGCCATTCTTAGTCCAGACCTAATGTTAAGAATTCAAATTCTTGTCTAGGAAAACACTATATTAGGTGTGCTATGTCAAATACATATTTATAATCTAAAGAGTTTGAAAACTGGAAATTGCAAAAGAATGACTATAAAAACTGATGTATTCCTTTGTTCTTTCATATTTGTCTTGTTTGGTTTGCTTCTCAGTTTTTCATCATCGAGGTGAACGCCAGACTGTCCCGCAGCTCTGCCTTGGCCAGCAAGGCTACAGGGTACCCTCTGGCCTACATTGCTGCCAAGCTCGCCCTGGGGATCCCTCTGCCCAAGCTGAAGAACTCGGTCACGAACTCCACCACGGCTTGCTTTGAGCCTAGTCTAGACTACTGCGTGGTGAAGATACCTCGCTGGGACCTTAAGAAGTTCACCAAAGTCAGCAAGAAGGTAACACAACAATTATTGAAGTTCCTCAGATTAAGTTTATTTGATCGTTTGTGATATCAGAAATTGTTAGATCAGATAGCCTTAGTATTCTTGCTGGGATCTCAAAAAGTTTACTAAAGTAAAATGAATAATAATAAAATTAATAATAATAATTGATTCATATTGAGCGCCTTTACAGACAAACTGATCAGAGCGCTATTACAACAGAAAAGAAACATACAAATCATAACAATCAAATAAGGAACAGTAATTAAAATATTATTAATGAAATGAAATTTATATACCCGGTACTCAAAACATACATTATGGATTCAGATGCAAAGAGTTGGGTTTTAAGTTCCTTTTTGAAAGTGTCTTCTGTACTACATAGGCAGAGGTGTTGTGGTAGAGTGTTCCAGATGGATGGTCATGCATATGAGAATGAGCGTTCGGTTGCCTTGGTGTTGGTGCGTGGGATCAGTAACAGTGTCTGATCGTTCCGTGAAAGCAGATGGTATCTGGAAGCTGGGAGAGTAGTTGGCATATTAGACAGATAGTGTGGTGCAGTTTGCATCATGCCATAGCATCGGCGAAGATATGGCAGTGGGTAGGATGTTTGAAGAAACATTCCAGAAAAGTCCTCCCAAAACGCATTTTGTGATGAATATATGCACAGTTATATCCTACTGAAAAAGAAAAATTAATAATTTCCATATCTCTCCACATCCCATTGCTTCTCAATCCAATTTACCCATGTAGTTAAAAGTTATTTTGCTTTTCTTCCGTTAGATTGGGAGTTCGATGAAGAGCGTTGGCGAGGTGATGGCGGTGGGTAGGAAGTTTGAAGAAGCATTCCAGAAAGCACTCCGCATGGTGGATGAAAACGTGACGGGATTTGACCATGACAAAGAGAAAGTCTCTGAAGAGGTAAGTAGCATCCTGAGATAATTGTTTGAATCCTCCAGTCAGTAAACCTTGTAAATGAAATTTTTGGATAAAATTAAACACTTTAGATACAGTTTTATTTCTGGATCATCTTTAATTTGCTTAGCTCCTATTTTGCAAAGAGAAATAAATACTTTCCTTGTGAATGAAGTTTTGTGATGAAATTAATCATTTTGGATTTGCATTTAATACTTCTGGATTATTTTGGATTTGGGTAGCTCCTATTTTGGGATGAGAAAGGAATACATCTTTATTATGCCTCCGTTACGAAGTAGCCGGAGGCATTATGTTTTCGGGTTGTCTATTTACGTTGTTCGTACGTCTGTACGTACGTACGTCCCGTTCTCGTGATCGCGTTATCTCAAGAACCGACTGATGGATTCCTACCAAACTTTGGTCATGTATGTAACTTGCAGAGCCAATGAACTGAATAGATTTTGGGGTCACGAGGTCAAAGGTCACAGGGCTCATTATGTATGCAAAAATAGATTGTGAACGCGTTATCTCAAGAAACGACTGATGGATTCCTACCAAACTTTAATAATAATATAATAATATAATAATAATAGCCTAATAGTCCACTCCAAATTTTATTAAACCGAAACGGAAATTCTTTTTGCCCAATTGATCGTGAGCCCGGCAGCCACTGAGCAGCGCCAGATCGACGTTGCTCTATCCCTTATTGTTGAACGCCAAACAAGGTAGCAACAACTCCCATCTTTTAACGTCTTTTGGTATGACGCGGCCGGGGTTCGAACCCATGACCTCCCGGTTGTGAGGCGGACGCTCTACTGACTGAGCCAACACTCCGGTACTTGGTCATGTATGTAACTTGCAGAGCCAATGAACTGAATAGACTTTGGGGTCACGAGGTCAAAGGTCACAGGGCTCATTATGTATGCAAAAATAGATTGTGATCGCGTTATCTCAAGAACCGACTGATGGATTCCTACCAAACTTTGGTCATGTATGTAACTTGCAGAGCCAATGAACTGAATAGATTTTGGGGTCACGAGGTCAAAGGTCACAGGGCTCATTATGTATGCAAAAATAGATTGTGAACGCGTTATCTCAAGAAACGACTGATGGATTCCTACCAAACTTTGGTCATGTATGTAACTTGCAGAGTCAATGAACTGATTAGATTTTGGGGTCACGAGGTCAAAGGTCACAGAGCTCATTATGTATGCAAAAATAGCTTGTGATCGCGTTATCTCAAGAACCGACTGATGGATTCCTACCAAACTTTGGTCATGTATGTAACTTGCCGAGCCAATGAACTGAATAGATTTTGGGGTCACGAGGTCAAAGGTCACAGGGCTCATTATGTATGCAAAAATAGATTGTGATCGCGTTATCTCAAGAAACGACTGATGGATTCCTACCAAACTTTGGTCATGTATGTAACTTGCAGAGTCAATGAACTGATTAGATTTTGGGGTCACGAGGTCAAAGGTCACAGAGCTCATTATGTATGCAAAAATAGCTTGTGATCGCGTTATCTCAAGAACCGACTGATGGATTCCTACCAAACTTTGGTCATGTATGTAACTTGCCGAGCCTATGAACTGATTAGATTTTGGGGTCACGAGGTCAAAGGTCACAGGGCTCATTATGTATGCAAAAAAAGCTTGTGATCACGTTATCTCAAGAACTGACTGATGGATTCCTACCAAAATTTGGTCATGTATGTAACTTGCAGAGCCAATGAACTGATTAGACTTTGGGGTCACGAGGTCAAAGGTCACAGGGCTCAATATGTATGCAAAAATAGCTTGTGATCGCATTATCTCAAGAACCGATTGATGGATTCCTGCCAAACTTAGGTTATGTATGTATCTTGCAGAGCCAATGAATTGATTAGATTTTGGGGTCAAGGTCAAAGGTCATGGGGCTTGTGATTGCATTATCATTAGAACCGATGGATGGATTACCATCAAACTCAAGACATGCATATATATGTATTTTGCATTTGAGGTCATGAGTTCAAAGATCAAAGGGTCATACATGTATATGAGAAATAGCTTGTATAATCACGATATTCTGAGAACCTGTTATGGATTACAACCAAACTTGAATTTGAAATATTTCTTCCGTTTTGGTTTGTAAAATTGCTCTATGACGGAGGCATCACTTTCGACTGCGCGCAGTCGAAGTTCCATCTAGTTTACTTATGGAATCTTGTTGGTTAGGAGACAAGCGGGTAGGTGTAGATCTTATGATTCTCTCATTCCCTATTTTGGTGAGTGGATAAAATCTGTTACTAAAGCGATTCAATTCTTAAACACAAATCTGTACCATTGTATGTTGCTGTGAAAGTAAATATGTATAAAAATTGATTCCCACAATGATAGTACTTATTGCATATTAATGCTGGGGTCTATTCAGTTGTGAAGTGACCCTTAGATTCAATACCAGTTGGCTTGAATGAATGAGCACCTGGCATCAGAGCGTTGTACTTTTTATCAACTTTTATGCCTTTGCCCACCGAATGTGGTGCTGGAGGCATTTTTTTGTTGTGTTGACCATCCATCCATCCCACTTTCTTTCTCCCATATCTCAAGAACCGCTTGAGATATCAACTTCAAACTTGATGATAGTCGTATCAACAGATTAGAACAAACTGATTCGATTTTTAATAATAATTAATAATTACAGTGCTTATATAGCGCCTAACACTTACTTTGTCAGAAGTCTCTAAGCGCTCTACAATAATGCAGCATAATTACCCTTTTTTTAAGTAACTACGCAGAGGCATATTGGAGAAGCAGTCACATTTGTCTTGTTTCTTATTTTATTTGTGCTTCCCATCATGCATCTGTGTCACCCCTACAGGTTCTCAACCTTCCGACCGACGAGCGCATCTTCGTGGTGGCTGCTGCCCTCAAGGCTGGCTACACAATCGACAAGCTTTACGAGCTGACCCGAATCGACCCCTGGTTCCTCCACAAGTTCAACAACATCATCAACTGCACCACGGCCCTAGAGGCATCTCCCATAGAGCCTTCGAAGGAACTCATACTCCAGGCGAAGAAGTTGGGATTCTCGGATAAGCAGATCTCTAAATGCGTCCTGAGGTTTGTTTCCTTGATCTTCCATGTGGTTGCTTTCTCGAAGAGAGATAAATCCAGAAATAGAATTTATTTGACCTCTTAGGGTACTGTCCAAATGTCTTGCCGCAAAGAAGTTGGGTTTCTCGGATATGCAAATCTCTAAATGCGTCCTGAGGTTTGTTTTTTGGATCTTCCATGAACAGTCAAACCTGTCTATAAAGACCACCTAAAGGGAAACAGACAAAGTGGCCACTGTAGACAGGTGGCCTGTCAGGACAGGTTCTACAACACACATTTCTCTCTCTCATGGGAGACAAAATGCATGCCCGCTATAGACAGCTGGTCTTTATAGAGAGGTGGTCACTAAGGCAGGTTTGACTGTAGTTGCTTTCTTGAGAAGAGATAAATCCAGAATTATAATTTATTTGACCTCTTAGGGTATTGTCCAAATCTCTAGCCAGTGTAGATGAATTTATTTGATTTATAGTTTTATTTTTATGACAATGTGGTTGAGTGTTTAGGTAACATGACATTTTAAATGCTTTTCACATGATTGCCTATAAGGAACTGGCATTGTCAGGTATGTAGTAAAGGATATCTATATATTTATTGCTTAAATTTTGAAAAATGTGATTATTAAAACTTTACACAAACAATATATTGGTTTGCCTAGTCCAGCAGTTAAATAGGTGTTTTCAAAGTCAATCAGAGATACTTATTTGTAACCCTTTGAAATTGGCTATATTGATGGATTTAACATTTAAGCCACCATAACTTGGAATATGCTTTAATTTCTAGCACTGAGCTAGCAATCCGCACACTTCGACAGAGCTACGGTCTGAAGCCGTTTGTGAAGCAGATTGACACGGTCGCTGCCGAGTGGCCCGCCAGCACCAACTATCTCTACCTGACCTACAACGGCGACACTCACGACCTGGACTTTCCTGGAGGTCACGTGATGGTGATCGGGTCGGGGGTATACCGCATCGGTAGCAGCGTGGAGTTTGATTGGTGCGCTGTTCGATGCATCACTGAAATGAGAAATGTAAGGAACTTAACATTCTTACAGGCGGGTTTTAAAGGCCTGATAAAAACCTGATTTAAATCGGTTTCCAGATTTTTTTGATTTTTTCCCAATTCTTTTTTTTTTTTTTTTCCTAATTTTTTTTTCTCCCGATTTTCCTGATTTTTCCCTTATTTTCCCTATTCTTCCCTATTATTTCCCAATTTTTCTTACTCTAAAGGGGGGAATGTTGTTTGATGCCATTTTTCCCCCTAATCCTCTTCTATCTTGCTTTAGTGCTCACTATCACCCCTGGTTTTGGTGAAAGCCACAGATTTTGAGTAGATGCTCTCATGACTTTTTTGTAGCATATAAACAGACACTTTTCCCCCTGTTTTTTCTTTGAAATGTCAGTTTAGCAAGATTCTGTCATAAGACACTCATTATGCATGATATTTGGACTGGATTTGGGTTCTGTTACAATTATGGAATTAACTGTGGAATTCCAAAAGAAATTGTCACTTTTTGGTCTGGAATCTTAGTCTGAAGTATAGCTAAAAATATGTGCATCATTGGTAATCAGCATCATTGGAAGACCATCTTTTAGCATCATGGTGAAATGCAACCCTGAGACCATTCACATAGACTCTAACATGTGTGATTGTCTCTGCTTTAAGAAGATTTATATTTATGCAGAGAATAATGATGCTCTTTACCATGTAGTCTGTATGTTCGTTATGGTTAATTGCAACCCGAGACAGTGTGCATGTTCTATGCCATGTGTGACCTGGGGGAGGGGGGGGGGGGTGTTTCATAAAGACTAAGATGGATCTACGTTTGACTTGAACTATGGGAGGCCATTCATGCCACTGGCTGCTCTCATCATTGGTCTCTCAATTACAATCTCTAGATATTATTTTTTCCTACAATAATGAACTTTCAAAAAATGTATATTCTGTAGATTTTTTTACCACAATTGGTAGGTCCCTTGAGAAACCAATGCCAGGAATGGTTAGAGGAACTAGTGGCAGGAACGGCCTGCCATAGTTCAAGTCCAACTTAGGTCAATGTGAGTCTTGGTTAAAACACTCCTAAGCTCTACTTCGAGGAGCTTCGAGGAGCTTTCATTGTTAATGTTATTTGTCTGTGATATGTTAATGTATTGTTATATTTTATACAAATGTGAGTCGAAAGACAATTTTTATGCCTTCCTTTTATTTTGTGCATGACAATAAAGAAATTCAACTTAGTTTAAAATGTAGAATGATTGCATCCCTTCCTCTCATCTGCATTTCTTCTTCGTCGCAGCATGGACGGAAGACCATCATGCTCAACTACAACCCTGAGACGGTGAGCACGGACTACGACATGTGCGATCGGCTCTACTTTGACGAGATCTCTTTCGAGACGGTGATGGACATCTACGAGAGCGAGGATCCCACCGGTATCGTCCTCTCCATGGGAGGCCAGCTACCCAACAACATCGCTATGGCTCTGCATAGGCAACAGGTGAGTGGAGATGGTGCACATGATCCATTTGATCAATATGTTGATTCCATTCACACAGTTGTCCAATTTTTTATAACCGCCTAATAGAAACCTATGAAATATTTTTAAATGAAGGAAAGCTTATATTTCTTGTTGGCATTCAATTTGAATTCATTGATTGTGAACTTAAATTGCCAAACACGACTTGTATTCAAGTTGCTCATGCGTTTGTATATAGAGGGCAGCACACAGATGTACACAAAGGAGCGTAATACCCGTTGGCTTAGTGTTATGTAGTGATTGCCAAGTTGCCTACTTCACGAATGACTATATACCCACGCATGAACATCTTTAAGATGAACTATGACATGAGAACCAAAAGTCACAATAAAGAGTGTTTTTTTCACACAAGATTCAATCAATTATGTTTTTACTGTCTTTTGATGTCTGTCACTCATTTATTTTTCGCCCGTAGTGTCGTATTCTGGGTTCCTCCCCCGAGTCGATCGACAACGCGGAGAATCGATTCAAGTTCTCTCGCATGCTGGATCTGATTGGGCTCAACCAGCCACAGTGGAAGGAACTCACCGACATACAGGTAAGATCTTTGCATAGACAATACTCCCCAGGGAGCAGAGCGTGTGCACTATCATGTGTAATGTGGATTTGTAATAGAATCAAGTAGCCAGAGTAATAATATTTACAATGTAACGCACTTAAAAACGTAGTATTAAAGCTTATCTGCCGTAGTTTATAGGAGGGATTAGAATGCCCTGCAAGGTCACTGGACAGGTGGTTATCTCATCAACTCAGCTCTCAGTTAACATAAGAAAAAGAGGATCATGGGGGACCAATGGTCACCGATTAGGCATTGTTTGTTATATAGAGGGCGCAAGTAGCTACAAGTAGTGCAGTGGGCCTTTAAGCGCTACAACAAGTGTGGCTATTATCAGGGAATAGTACAGTGAGATCTGATTTAGCAATCATCTGATAGTCAAGTCAAGTCAAGTCAATAATGGTTTTATTAAAAAACAATGCCTCGCAGCCAAAATGCTGAATTGTGCATGTTTACATGTATACATGAGCTTCATTACATAACATTATATTTCATTTGTTACAATCATTCATTCAAACAGTATTGGTAACATTTAACAGTATTAATGTGTAACATTTAAAATCAATCACTATGTATTATTTACCCTTTTAAAATCTATTAAACTTCACAATAGTAATAACAATAATTGATCAAAAGCAATACAATACATAACATACAAATAAGTAAAAAGCTAATACTGAAATTATTGCACCTGTGTCTTTAACAATTCATATTCATTGAAAATTAAGAGTCAGCAAAATGTTGCTCTATGTTGCCTTTTCATCAATGGTAAGTACATAATTATAAATTGATGTCTCTGTAAAAAGATAAACATATTCCAGAGTGGGTTGTAAAACATGGTTTCCTACGTTAAAACTAAATCATAGTTGGGTATGTATTAAAACATTAGATAATGATAAAGATATTTATCAAATATTGTACCCCCACCCTTCTACCCTTTGAATAGTGTTTTTTCATTAAATTTTTTTTTTTCTCGAAAAGCCTGCACAGAAAAACCATTTCCCTATCGTGTCATTCGAAAGTTTGCTTCATATACAGGTTTATGCTGTAGTTTATTTAAGAGACTTATAAAGGGTTTAGGGTTCACATCCCATCTCATTTTTTGTGAGGTGCTGCCCATGAACGCAAGACACACACAATGACCTGAAAGATACAGTCAAATCGTCTATAGCGACCGTCCATGGAAAACACAAAAAGTGATCTTTATAGACAGGCAGTCTTTTTAGACAAGTTCCTTTAGTCCATGTTTCAATGAGAAACCGTGTTCAAGGGAAACAAAAAATGTGGCCTTTGTAGACAGGTGGTCACTGAAGCAGGTTTGATTGTATCCCTAATCTCTCTTTTCTTATCTTCCAGGCTGCCAAGGAGTTCTGCCAGAGGGTCGGCTACCCGTGCCTGGTGCGACCGTCGTACGTCTTGAGCGGTGCTGCCATGAATGTGGCCCACACTCCCGACAACCTTGAGGGATACCTCAGCAGTGCCGTAGCGCTCGGCAAGGATCATCCCGTCGTTATCTCAAAGTTCATCCAGGAAGCCAAGGTAAGTTACTGTAAAGACTCGTTTACACTAGACGTGGTAAACTGCTTTTAAAAAACACTAGCAAAAGATTTTTAAAACTGTTTTATGTGTGAACGTGTAAAAGGAAAAAAGGAAGCTGTACACTTACCTGTGTGTCAAAAGGTCTAGAAACATGATGCACACTACTCTTATAAAGAAAAGATACAATGTGATTTGCATTTTTTTTTCAATTGCTTTGGAAATTTGAATTATCCCCTCTTCTGAAGTAAAGTTTTTAGAAAGTGGCTTACATGTAAATATTCAAGTTATCAAGGGATATGATGAAATGGCCTACTAGTCAGCTCTTTGTTTTTATGTACAAACTAATTCTGAAGAAACCTAGTTCAAAACCGAGTCTCGTCTTCAGGATGGAGACGTTAAAGGTCTGTCCACGGATGTAGTTGATAATTGATTGAAACACATCTATAAAAGCAAAATTACAAGTTTCTTCAATTTTTCTCCATGTTGCAGGAAATTGATGTGGACGCTGTTGCTCAGGATGGTAAGATCGTTGCCATAGCGATCTCGGAGCACGTGGAGAATGCCGGAGTTCACTCTGGAGACGCCACCCTGGTGACACCTCCGCAGGATCTGAACCAAGAGACGATCGACAAGATAACGGCCATCACTGCGGCCATCGGAGCAAGTCTAGAGGTTAACGGCCCATACAATCTACAGCTCATCGCAAAGGTAAGAGTCATTTATAAAGTTGTACTGTTGTCGAAGAAGTCAGGTGGTGTTCTGATAAGTACTTTCACTTGATATTAGAAAGAAATATAGATCTTTGTCCATCATTAATTAATAGGGACTTTTAGATTTGCACGTAGCTACAAGTAGTACAGTCCCGCTTTAAAGAAGAATAATTAGAAGTGAATTTTGAACCACCTGTATTTTGCCTCCACCCACAGGACAATCAACTGAAGGTGATAGAATGCAACCTGAGAGTTTCCCGTTCCTTCCCCTTCGTCTCAAAGACCTTGGACGTTGACCTGATCGCCTTGGCAACAAAGATCATCTTAGGTATTCCGGTGGAAGCCCTCGGCAAGCTGAATGGCACAGGCAGGGTGGGGGTCAAGGTAAGCAAGACAGCATCAATGTATGCGTAACTAAATCGGTCAATGTGAAATTTTTACCATGTAGTAATGTCCAAACTTCTATAGCGACCACCTTTGTAGAAAGAATACATCTATCTGCTTGTCACAAACCCTATTTTGACTCGTAAGATAACTGCTTCTCATTGATACATATTGACCATCTGTCTATTGGGACCACCATCTGTAATCTTTCTCGTACAGCGATGGGAAGAAATGGCATTTTTATGCCTCCGTTACGAAGTAGCCGGAGGCATTATGTTTTCGGGTTGTCCGTCCGTCCGTACGTACGTACGTCCCGTTCTCGTGATCGCGTTATCTGAAGAACCGATTCATGGATTCCTGCCAAACTTTGGTCATGTATGTATCTTGCAGAGCCGATGAACTGATTAGATTTTGGGGTCACGAGGTCAAAGGTCACAGGGCTCATTATGTATGCAATAACAGCTCGTGATCGCGTTATCTGAAGAACTGATTGATGGATTCCTGCCAAACTTAGGTCATGTATGTATCTTGCAGAGACGATGAACTGATTAGATTTTGGGGTCACGAGGTCAAAGGTCAAAGGTCACAGGGCTCATTATGTATGCTGAAACAGCTCGTGATCGCGTTATCTGAAGAACCGATTGATGGATTCCTGCCAAACTTAGGTCATGTATGTTACTTGCAGAGCCGATGAACTGATTAAATTTTGGGGTCATGAGGTCAAGGTCAAAGGTCATGCGGCTCATTATGCATGCAAAAATAGCTTGTGATCGCATTATCATTAGAACAGATTGATGGATTCCTCCCAAACTTAGATCATGTATGTATCTTGCAGAGCCAATGAACTGAGTAGATTCTTGGGTCATGAGGTCAAAGGTCAAAGGTCATGAACTCATTATGTATGCAAAAATAGCTTGTGAACGCATTCTCATTAGAACTGACAGATGGATTACTATTTAACTCGGGACATCTTGCAGAGCCAATGAACTGAGTAGATGTTAGGGTCATGTGGTCAAAGATCAAAGGGTCATATATGTATATGAGAAATTGCTTGTAATCACAATATTCTGAGAACCTGTAAATGGATTACAATTGAACTTGAATTTGAACAATTTCTTCTGTTTTGGTTTGTAAAATTGCTCTATGACGGAGGCATCATTTCGACTGCGCGCAGTCGAAGTTCCATCTAGTTGTTATTGCTATATATGGTAGAAAGTATATCACCCCACCGTACAACAGTTTTATCAATCAGTGGAAACATCGCACCAGTTGTGCCCTGCAAAATTTTAACCAAATTGTCCTTATATTGTGCAAGTGATTGAGCTGCCGGCCATTCCTGCTTAAGATGAATATTTCCTATTTCAAGCATTCAAACTAATGTTTTGAACCCTAGATTACCCTTGTTCGTAAATCATTCAAATTACGCAGGGTTTTCATTTATCCTTGGGAGATTATTTTTGTTGTGGAAGGGTTGCGACCTTCGACTCGTTACCATCTGTTAAATACCATCGTCTCTCCATCTTACCACCAGGTAAGCCAATTCTACCTCTAGATTACCCTTTTCTTGCTTTGTAAGGCAAATTTATTTATCCTTGGGAGATTATTTTTGTTGTGGAAGGTTCGCGACCTTTCACTCATTACCGTCTGTAAATCATTGTCTCTCCATCTTATCACCAGGTACCCCTTTTCTCAGCTCTCTTTCCTTTTATTTATCCTTCCCCTTCTTCTGACTCACCTCACCTCAATTTAATATTTGATTGTAATTTAATTTAATTTAATTCAATTCAATTAATTTAATTTTGATCTATTTAATTTTAATGAAATTTTAATTGCCAGGTCCCGCAGTTCTCCTTCTCCCGTCTGGCCGGTGCGGACATGCTCCTGGGTGTCGAGATGGCGAGCACAGGCGAGGTGGCGTGCTTTGGTGAAGACCGGTTCGAAGCTTACATGAAGGCCATGCTCAGCACAGGATTCCGTATCCCCAAGAATAACATCCTCCTCTCGATAGGAAGCTACAAGGTATAGGAACCCGTCTTCAGTGATTAGTATTTTTGTTACAAAGTATTTGGCATCACCTGTGCCAGACAATAGGCCATTTTTATAATGTAAGCAAATTTATACTTACCGGTAAAGAGAAGGTTGAGTTCTGGGAAGAGGTGAAAAATAATTTGTGAGCGTTATCATTGTTTTGATGCGAATGTGGAAGAACTTCAGAAAAAAAGTGTTTCCTGAAAATCATGGCTCTTCAAATGCCTTCATGTTCTAAGTATAACAAGTAACAGCTTAAAAATGAGCCTGATTTATGCCTTATGTTTGTGTAGTCCCACATACATCTTTCTGTGTACAGTGCCTGTTACTTTACCAAGACTGGACCAAATTCCTTATCATTTTGATGACTCCAGAAACTTACGTATGTTAGAGGCGAGGACCTCTAACAAGCAACTTGAGGCCCCTATTAACCCTTACTGTACTGGGCTATTTTGAGCACCCTCTGACTGGGGGGGGGGGGGGGGGGGCTGGGAGGCCCCCCCCCCCCCATGATCTCGGCCGTCGAATGTCCGATGAAATCGAAAATTTGCATATTTGTAGATATTTACGTAAGGAACAAGACGGTATAATTAGTTTTTTCCTAATATGCAAATTTTTGTCGTTATAGCCTAATTAATTATGCAAAATGCTAATTTTATGCATTTTACAGAAAACTCTACAAATTTGTCCGTAGACTTGTGAAGAATCTTGAAAATGTATTGAATAGATGTTTCCTTCATCTCAAATTCATGAGGTTTCATTATTTTTATGATATTTGAAAATACATAGGTTAATTTGCATAATTTATGAATACGCATTCATGAATATCATATCTGGAACTATATTTAGGGAACTAGGATCATTACAAAAATTGTCAGACTCCACTTTTTGAATGTTTTAACTCATTATTTATATGAAACATTTCTACTAACACAAAATAGTTATTTGATGTAATTAATAATGATAATTTATGCAAATTTGATGCGATTTTCAACTATTTATTTTTATTATGTATTTTATTGTTTTTTATTTCTCATTATATCTATTGTTTTATTTCTAATGTATTCTTTTGTTCTGGAATACATCAAGTTACTCTGAGAAACATATAAAAGCAATTTGATATCAATTCATATCTTCACATTTCTGCTTGTACATGAATATATTCAATTATAGCACTTTTTTGATGACATGCGCATACTAATTGTTATGTAACACCTTACAGGTATATCCGATTTTGACGAAAATGGTATCAAAATGTGTGCAAGACTTGAGGGAAAAAAGTCATGAAACGACAATTCAAAATTCCAAGCGGTTGCAGCGCGATCTCCGAAAATGTCGAGGGGGGGGGCCTCCCAGGCCCCCCCCCCCCCCTAGTACAGTAAGGGTTAAGGAACACACAATATTACATTAAATTACATTGGAACACTGTTTTTATCAGGACAAAAATTAGAAAAAACAAACTTTCAATCGAACTTACTTTGTGTTTCAGGGGAAAATGGAACTTCTTCCTGCCGTGAGAACACTGGCTGCAATGAACTACAGCCTGTATGCCAGCATAGGTACAGCTGACTTCTACAATGAACACGGCATCAAGGTAAGCGTAACTTGACTGGGTTTTGGTGGTGGTGGTGGTGGTAGAGGGATGTAGAGGGGGGGGGGGGGTAGCTGGTCATAATTGTGGTGGTAGTGCAGGGGATGAAGGGGTACCTGGTGGTGGTGATGGGGGTAAGGATTCCGACGAGCGGCGAATAAAAATGAGTGGTCAAAAAGTGGACACGAGGGTGTTCATTGCTGATGAAACTGACCAATGACAAGGGTTGCAATCAATGACTCAGTTATGTTGGTGGTAGTGGTGGTAGGGGAGGGGGGGGAGGGGTTAGCTGGTCATAATTATGCTGATAGTTACAGGGGGGCGGGGTGACTACCTGCTGATGGGGTGGTGATGGTGGTAAGGAGGAGCTGCGAATCAAAATGAGAAGTCGCAAAGTGAACCTGAGGGTGTTTATTGCTGATAAATGAGAAGGGCTACAATGGAAGTGATGAAAATTTTAGAAGTCTTTCACTCGCCGGGCTTAGAAGATTTCTTCTACCTCCAATTCAGGCTACCTGTATTAAGAAAACATCACCTTAATTATGGTATTTATATATTCAGTTATAAAGACAACCTAAGATATTAAATCACACATCTTTCATACCTCTTCCCCTCAGATCAAGCCAGTCGACTGGCCTTTTGAAGAGGAGACGCCTGAGCAGAAGAAAGCCAACGGCGACGCCCCTTTGAGCATGATGGACTACCTCTCGGAGAAGCACTTTGACATGGTCATCAATCTACCAATGAGGAACAGCGGAGCCCGTAGAGCCTCGTCGTTCATCACCAGGGGATACCGGACCCGACGCATGGCCATCGATAAGGAGATTCCGCTCATTACGGACATCAAGAAAGCTAAGATGTTCATTGAGGTGAGCAATTATGTTGACAAATGCCTCAGTCATGCCTTTGCATATTTGGCTTGCGTATCACTGCATATTTATGGCAAGCCGTTTTAACATTTATTCCTATTTCTTGATATCAAGAAATAGTTTTCTGTTGTAAAGCAATGGTAATTCTTGATATCAAGAATTTGATTTCTTGATATCAAGAATACGATTTCTTGATATCAAGAAATACGAATAAATGTTAAAACGGCTTGCCATTAATATGCAGCAACACGCAAGCCAAATACGCAAGTGTGTGACTGAGGCATAAGAGCACACATTTCTATTTTATTTGACTTTGATGCCCACCATACATTATTTTCTACTCAGTGGGTACTGTCTTTGCAAAATAGATTTGTACATGCTGGATAGTTGGGGGCTAAGTGAAGTATGTCGGGTTTAAGAATCTTATCGTGCTGTGTTTGTTTTTATACTCTCGTGGTAAATTAACAATGATCGTTAATCATTCATCTCCTCATGACTTCTTTCAGGCTTTGCGTCGCATTGGAGGTGCTCCACGCATGAAGACCCACATCGACTGTCTCACCTCCAACCGGACGATACGTCTCCCGGGTCTCATCGACGTCCACGTGCATCTCCGAGAACCGGGAGCCACGCACAAGGAGGACTTTGCCTCTGGTACGGCCGCAGCTTTGGCTGGAGGAATCACGATGGTCGGTGCCATGCCTAACACGACGCCGTCCATCACTGACCAGTCCTCGTTCCAACTTGTCAAGAAGGTAAACGGAGGAGAAAGTTGATTTGACCCTGTTGGAAGTGAAAAATGAAAAAGATTACTTACATATCAAAGTAAAGCTTATAAGCCATATATTATAATGATATCATCCCATGCCATTTTAGTATCTTTTAGAAGTAGCAGCTCTCTGAAAAGTCCAAATCAAAAGCTTTGAAAATCAGATGTTGTAGATCTAAGAAGTAGCTATCGACTTGATGACATCATCTTATATGGAGTATGCATATTCACAAGACTTTGCATTAAATAGGCACAGCTCTTCCCCTCAGCTATATGTGACTATGCCACCTATGTTAGATCAGGTCCGGAAGATTTCAATGAGGTCCTGATCATCAGTACCTCATTTTTTTTCAGAAGGAACGTTCCTGCCCCAATGCTTCTTAGCTGTATGGTCCTCATGATGGCACTCTCTGAATTACCTTGTTCTTTCCTCAAAGACTCCTTTAAAATGAAATGTTTGTTTTAGCTCTGTTTGCTCTTCTCCATTCACTATTGTTCACCAATCTACTTTACGATTTGAACGTTCACAGCTTGCTCAACTCGGGGCCAGATGTGACTACGCCATCTATGTCGGAGCGGGACCTGATAACTTCAACGAGCTCCCGATCATCGGTAACGCCGCCATGGGGATGAAGATGTACCTCAACAAGACATTCACATCACTCAGATTGGACAGTGTATCGACTTGGATTGAGGTATTGACTCTTGTGTTTAATACCGTTTGCCATTTACCATGCCCAAATCTATTGATATAGCAATAAACCTATTTAATTAGACAATGTACTCCTTTGTGTTACCTCAACAAGACATTCACATCACTCAGGTTGGACAGTGTATCAACTTGGATTGAGGTATTGATTCTTGTGTTACTGTTTGCAGTTTAAAGTGCCCAAATCTATTAATATAACAATAATAAATTTATTATTTTTAATTTGGCATCACCTGTGCCTGGGAGGCGAAAAGCGAACTGAATCATAAACCATCGGGTCTCTCCTCCCCCGTTTAACTGCTTGGGGCTGTAAAGGTGAACCGCTACACAGGGCCTCCATTTAACATCCTATCTAAGGGACGGTGCGTTTTCCACTTAACATAGCCTTTGTTACCTCTCATCTTGTTAGATTTGAAGTGAAGGTTGAGTACTGGTAAAAGTGAAAGTAATATGTGAGTTTTCTCAATCTCTTTTGCTTTTATTTGGGAGAATGCCACATGGTAAGAATTCATTCTAAAATGCTCTGCATTTAAAATGGCTCAAATTTTGCTGCTGTGTTCAGTGCTTAGAATGGTCTTTGTTTCTACCAAATTTAGTGACCATAATAAGCCAGTTCATGGATACAATGTGCGCATGGGCAGATAAAGGTCATTTGTACCAAAAAGGTAAAACCCACAGAGATGAATACTGGATATGGGCTCATGAAAGTTATGTAACATTATTCATTTATGCACCAACGGTACATTCTAAGATACGCAGGTCGAAGTATTCTTTTCAAGAGGGCAAACAAAAGGTATTCATGAAGCACATCTAGGTTGGCAGTTATTATTCTAAGATGCGCAAAGTGGAACTTCTTCCATGTGTAAAAGGTCTGTGGATATTTGGGGTCATTTGTACCATTGTGCTATCTGTAAACTCCCTTATTCAATCATGGCATGTACATCTGTTTTCACAGCATCTTCAAAACTGGCCTCGTCACCTGCCCCTGGTAGCCCATGCTGAGGGAAGAACAACCGCAGCTATCCTCTTCATTGCTCAGTCTCTCAACAGACCCATACACATCGCGCATGTCGCCAGGAGAGAGGAGGTCGGTTCACATATCGTTTTTTATAAAATAACCTCCTAACATCTTGTTTCTTTGTCATTCTTTAAAACTTTATTTTGTTGGAAAACTCACATTTCCTTAACCTGCATATAACGGTTACGATTGATCCAAAGCCAGAGCTGCCAACCAGTACGATTTTATCGTATTTCGTACAATTTTTTTAGAAGTAAATACGACAGTGTGTGTGAGGGTGTGTGTGTGTGTGCCCAACACATTCTCATAGCCCATTCTCTCTTGTAAAGTATCCGACAAGTATTTAACATCGGCAATTTGGGAATGTTCATTGGTTCATCGAACTTATCAGTCGTGACAAAATCATGCTTATTCAACCATTCGTCCATTAAAAAATTACTTCCTGTATGTAGGAACTTATGCAAAAAAAAATTTCATTTATCGTTTTTCTAACAGTTTTTATAACACTACAGTCTATCGGGGAAAATGAGTATGGTAAAACCGGTCACTCAAAGATTTTTACTTTTTTGAAGCACAGTTTTTGTAGGGCTTCATTATTGCACCATATCACAGACACTGATAACACGTAGGGCCATGCATCTCAGATATTAACATTGTTAAACGATGCCTTTAATCTTAATTCTTAGCTCATCCCTATCTTGTATTTTGTTGTCTCTTCAGATTGAGTGCATCAGGATGGCCAAGGAATCCGGCATGCAGGTCACCTGCGAGGTCACACCTCATCACCTGTTCCTGACCGAGGATGACCTTGATGACATAGGTCATGCCAGGGGTCAGGTCAAGCCTTGTCTGGTGACTGCTGATGACCAGCAAGCATTATGGGATAACATGGACATCATTGATTGCTTTGCGACCGACCATGGTAAGCTTTCAGACATACACTTTTCGATTTTTCATCTATCTATTACCCCATAGCAGTTTTCTCATTTTCTAAATTAATCGGTTTCCTCTCCTCAAATTGTCAACAATTGATCTTATTTTCCACTCCTAAATAGTTTGTTGTTTTTTTTGCCGAAAATCCATGCGGGGAAGGACTTTCATTTAACAGCGTGCAGTTGAAGGCGCTGATTTGTGCTTGTGAACTTGTCACAAATAATAGTAACAATGTCGTTTTTAGAAGAATGTGTAAGATCATTAATGTAAATCAAAAACAGTAGAGGACCTAGGATAGAACCTTGTGGTACGCCGTGTGTAATAGAAGAAAACTTGGAGGAATCATTATTATAAACTACATATTAAAGGTAAAGACCAGTATTGGTAACGCCCCAATTTCAAAAAATGAAATGGAAGCTCTCATTACCAATCATGTGAAAGAATATGTTTTGACTAATACATGATGATAAAAAATTTGACGGGAAACCGCCTACTAATTCATATATTTGGTAAATTTATCTCTCTCATGGTCGTGTGAGAGAGATAGGGTAGTCCCATATACATCTTTCTGTGTATAGTGCTTGTAACTTTACGAAGAATGGGCCAAATTTCTTATCATTTTGATGATTCCAGAACCTTGCAGATGCTAGATGCTAGATGATCAACCTTTTCTGATCGATTCCACAACGTTTCTTTCACAATGCAATCGCATGACCATTACTGGTCTTTACCTTTAAGATCTATTAGAAAGATTACTTTTAAACCAAGATGACAGACAAATTTGAGTGTTGTTCTAGTTTTCGAGTGGTGAGTCAACACACCAATTACTGAGCCAGGCATAGTGCCATAAATCGAAACTAAAAAAAAACAAAATGTGTACCTGTGTATAAGACGCACCCGACTTTCAATTTTGTTTGGCGGCAAAAAAGTACGTCTTGTACACAGAGATTTACGGTAAGCGCTATGGTACTTATTGTTTTTAGCGCTCCTAAATATTCTATATTATTGTTATCATTACTACTTATTATTTCTGACAGCCCCCCATACGGTAGAAGAGAAGAACAGTGAGAACCCTCCCCCAGGCTTCCCAGGTCTTGAGACCATGCTACCTCTCTTACTGACGGCCGTCAATGAGGGCAGGCTCACCATTGAGGTAAATAATCTTATTATGCACCACGTGGTGTGCTGAAAGCCAGAAGTTAAAGAAGATAAAGTTGAGTTCTGGTCATGCGATTGCATTGTGAAAGAAACATTGTGGAAACAATCAGAAAAGGTTGATCTTCTAGCATATAAGTATTGGTGTGTACTGCAATGATCTGGAATCATCAAAATGATAAGAAAGTTTGGCCAAGTCTTGGTAAAGTTACAAGCACTATACACAGAAAGATGTGTGTCAAACTGTCCCATTTTTTATGATGTTACATGCTATATTTAAAATATTAAGGCATTTGAAGAGCCATGCTTTTCAGGGAACACTTTTTATCTGATGTTCTTCCACACTTGCATAATACAGTGATAAAGCTCACTAATTATTTTTCACCTCTTCCCAGAACTCTACCTTCTCTTTAAGTCTGTGTAGGATGATGTTGGTTATGTCCTTCTAGTTCTCAGCAGACAATAATGTAAATTATGTTTATATTCAACTTACAAAAAGGTATAACATAGGCACAAAAGCTCTAACTAAAAGTGACACGACAGGACTGGTTTGACATTACCATTAATCAAAGCATTCTCTGTCCCTGAACTGTACGATAATTGGTTTTAAAAAATTACAACTCGCCACAATTTGTATATAAAATAAAGAGCAGTGTCTCTGAAGTTGAAGTGGATGTAAATGAATTTTAAAAGTGCATTCTACACATTCCTACAGTGATGTCAATTTTAGTACTACTGGATGAAGCAGCCACCATGCTGTGTGTGCTGATATGAAATTGAAATCTTTAGGTGTAACTCATTTTTCAGATAGTTATTTTTAAATATATATTATTATTTCAATTTCAATTATATTGGCCAATTGTGCTTACACTTTGGAACCTACATGTAAGTATTGTCATGATACAGTCAAACCTGCTTTAGTGACTACCTGTCTACAAAGGCCACATTTGATGCTTCCCTTGAAAACGATTTCTCATTTAATCATGTACTAAAGGAACCTGTCTACAAAGACCACCTATCTACGAAGATGACTTTTTGTGTTTCCCTTGGGAGGTCGCTATAGACGGGTTTGACTGTATTCATATTTTCTCTCTCTCTCTCTCTCATTACCAATATCTAATCTTTGACCTTTGACCCGTTTCCCAGGACATAGTCCTCCGTCTCTACACAAACCCCCGGAAGATCTTCAGCCTCCCGGAGCAGAAGGAGACCTACATCGAGGTGGACCTGGACCACATCTGGACCATCCCTGAGGCCATGACCCACACCAAGAGCAAGTGGACCCCGTTTGCAGGTCGCAAGGTCAAAGGGGCGGTGCGAAGGGTCGTGCTGAGAGGAGAGCTGGCCTACGTAGATGGGCAGGTGAGGAGGGCCAAAGATCAGGGCAAAGATCTTGGGTCCTTTGTAAATTTAACCAAGAATTGAGAAAGACAAGCAAACATTGATACTGCTGGGGGGTGTTTCACAAAGATCCCTAGTCAAACTTAACTCTCAGTTGGACTTAAACATTATGGAGAGCCATTTGTAGCCTCAAATAAAATATATTCAAAAAACAAAAATTCAAGTATTTTAGACTTTTCGTAAATTCCACATCAAGAACATGAAATCTCGTTGATTATAGAAAATATGAATGATTTGAATGAACAATTTATGCCTTTTAAAATAACTTTTACAAAAAACATTTTCAAAGATGCTAACAGCTTTCCATAATTGTTAAAGTCCAACTTAGATATAAGTTCAACTTTAAGGATCTTTGTGAAACACCCCCAGGTTTCATTTTCCCTTGTTTTTTTGTCTCATTCAATCTCTATTAAGGATGTCACCCTAATGAAATCTATGGGTATACTAATAAGTTTGGTTTATATACACGCATGGAACAAATTACATTGGACTTACCATAGAACATATGACATCATATGTGCCACCATATTCAAAATTAGTATACACTGTATAAACCTTCATACATGGAATTAACATTACCTACAGAGTGTAAATGTTGTCTGTTTAGAGCCAGAAAGGTGTTGACTCTACTTCAAAAGTAGTTGAGTCAAAGCCCTTTTAGCTCCAAACAGACAATGTAAAATGTGGTGTAATATCTAGGCCATAACTTTTACTTTAACCTAAGAGATACAGTCAAACCTGCTTTAGTGAAGCATGTACAAAAGGAACCTGTACTTAAAGACCACCTGCCTATAAAGACCACTTTTTCTCGCCTCCCTTGGGTGGTCTTTATAGACAGGTTTCACTGTTTTTGGAATATTTAGGTCATACAGTTAAGGATTTCATCAACACAAAGCCAAATCTGAATGGTCCTATTATGTTTGTTCAACAGGTGGTGGTGGAACCAGGCTTTGGTAAGGACGTACGTACCATGCTGGAGGGCGTACCGACGCCCGCACCCCTGTCGGTCCAGGTTGCCCTTAACCCCCAGGTGTTGGGACAGCCCTCCTCCCGACCTACCTCACGCCCCTCCTCGCCCCACAGGCTGGGTAAAGAGGGTGAGACGCGCTTCCTGTTGCCTGCCAGGATCCATCGCCTGTCGGAATCTGGTGGTAAGAATGCCTTCAAGACATGGCTTTTCATTTCATTTTATTTTTATTTTTTATATATATTTTTTAATTTATTTATTGATTGATTGATAATGATTTATTGATTATTATTATTATTATTATTTTTTTTTTTTTTTTTTTTTTTTTGGGGGGGGGGGGGGTTCAGAATATCTGTGAGATGTCCATGTACACTAGGCCCTTGTTTAAATGTTCTTATTTTGAGGATTAAGGACACATGTTAGTTTCAAGCCATGCCTTAAGATATAGGAGGTTGCTATAGATTAATGGTTTTAATTTGAAAAAAGGCTTTAATAAGGGCATGGGGTGGTAACCGTTACCAGTTTGATTTTTTTTTGTTTTGTTTTGTTTGGATTTTTTGAGTGACATTAGCACATAATGTGTACTTATAGCTGGTTTTCTTGGCTTGACTTTTCTTCTTCAAGAAATTTTGAGTCCAACTTCCTTAAATTTCCAAATGTTTGTTTTTGTACCATGAAATTTGATGGTGGCGTGAGAGTGGAAAGAACGGAAGGTGAATCACCTAAATGGATTAAACCGTTAGCGTTTTCCATTTCCTCCAGCTGCTTGTGGGATCTACCATCCTGAGGGTGTTTCACAAAAATTCTAAGTTGGACATAAAAGTTATGGAAAGCCGTTAGCATCTTTGAAACTATTTTTTAAAAGTTATTTTAAAAGGCATAAAATGTGGATTCAAATCATTTATATTTTCTGTCATCAAGGAGATTTCATGTTCTTGATATGGAATTTATGGAAAGTCTAAAATACTTGTTTTCTTGCTTTTGAATATATTTTATTTTAAGTTTACAAATGGCTCTCCATAATGTTTACGTCCAACTTAGAGTTAAGTTCAACTTAAGATCTTTGTGAAACACCCCCTGGTCATAAAAGTACAGACTGTATACTCCAATAATAATCATCAACCCGTTTTTTTTCCATTCCAGATCCCAACCTGATGTCGCCCCCTACAAACCCCCCTCAGCCCACTAGGACCTTCTTTTCCTCGCCCCAGCAGGGCCTCATGTCCCCCTTCGGGTATGGGGATGCACCCCCTCCTCTCACCCCTGTACCCAGTGTGGCTACCGGTGGGGTCTCGTTGATGGGGAAACACATCCTCAGTGCGGCACAGATGACCAAAGAACAGGTTAATTTGTGTTTTCTTTAAAGCCCCACTGCACTACTTATAGCTGCTTGCGCCCTCTATATAGCAAACAATGCCTAATCGGTGACCATTGGTCCCCCATGATCGTCTTTTTCTTATGTTAATTGAGAGCTGATTTGATGAGATAACCACCTGCCAGTGACCTTGCAGGGAGGTCTAATCCCCCTGGCCAAACTAGTACAGACAGGCTTTAAGAAGTGTAGCTGTGTACGAAGTAAATGTATGGTTTTACCTTTAATAATCGCAATTTATTTGATATCATTTTTTTTTTCTTTGAAAATGCTGTGCCTTTCAAATTTTCAACTGACTGCTACAAAAGTTTGATGTTGTTGCTTCATTTTGACTTTATTATGTTCAATTTTATTGTTATAGTGACAAAGTTATTGATATAGTTATACTGTATCATTTTATTAGTAATATCATCATCATCATCCTCCTCATCATTATCTCTATTGTCATCCTCCTCCTCCTCCTCATCATCATCATAATAGGTCATCATTTGTCCCTGAAGTTTGAATAGATTAGCGTTCACTTGAGCACACTTGTGATGTGATGTGATAACGAGACTTGATGTTATCCTGTGTACAATGCTATAAATTAAAACCTTTTTTTCAAATTCACAGCTTCATCAGCTATTCAACGTGGCCCACAACATGAGAATGAATGTCCAGAAAGAGAAGAGCATGGATTATATACTAAAGGTAAGCGCAATAAACCCAACAAGTCTGAAACTTCTAGTATGATCGATCATATCTCTCTTGTCATGACATTATCATCACTATGTTTTAATAGTATTGTTAGAAACCATTCATGTAGCCATATCTGTGTCTATTGCTTCTCAAAGTTAATGATCTTCAGCAAGAATTAAATGGATTCTTCATTTGTACTATTCCATACTTAGTCACCTTTACACCTTTATAAAAGAAAAATATTGTTGTTTGTTGCCAATTTGAAGGGCAATGTGCAATAAACTTAGCCCTAAACATAAATCCTGTCCTTAAATGTATAACTGATAAGCTCCTGGATGTCGGTAAAACTTGTATAAATCCTGTCTTATACCATTTGTGATTAATCTAGGATAAGTCTGATGATGTAAGAAGCCAGCGCGAGAACCTAAAAAAATTAGAGCTAAAATTTATCCTCGAAAAGAAAATAGTGGTATTGTTGTAGGAAACCAATATAGAGACATCTTGCCATGTAAGTTAGCCGTTTAATTTGTTTTAAACTTGCCCTGTTCAATACTCGAACTCGAGGACATTCTCGATTTTCAAGGAAAGATCTCGTCTACACATAAGGAAATGCTTTTCAGCAACAGAGTGGTGTAGTCTCCCTCAAGAAATAGTTGACTCAAACTCCATCGATATCTTCAAGATGAGAATGGATAAGCACTGGTGGTCTGATTGATTCAAGTTAAGTTAATTTAAAATGATCATAACAGTCCCAACCCTGCGCATGTACAAATAAGTTAACTCTAGAACATAACCAACCCTGAAAAAGGGACCGAGGATTACAGGATCTACCTCTCCTAGTATCATGATGATGATGTCTAATATTGTCTTCCATTGGTTTAGGGTAAGGTTGTATCTCTGATGTTCTACGAGGCAAGCACTAGGACCTCATGCTCCTTCTTGGCAGCCATGCAGCGTCTCGGAGGTAGCGTGATCAACTTCAACGAGAGTACCTCGTCTCACAAGAAAGGAGAATCAATGTCAGGTATGTTATTGCATGTGATGTATTCACTAATGTATGTACAAATGTAAAGTTAGACAAATTAGGCCTGAGTAATGTTGGGAATTTTATAAACCGAGTCCTGACGACCTTGCACCAATCAGGAACCGGTGTCCCGATATCAGCTAGCAGAATCTTTCACTTGCCTCTATAAATAGCACATATCATCATCGTACATACTTGTTGTTGTTTTAGTTTTAATGGTGTGTATCATTCATTTATGAATATTTACGCTGAGCTACATACATTAGTCTATGTTCAGTCTGTATCTGTTTGCGGTGAGCTAAACTACTCGACAAAACTAGTCATTATCGTTGATTCAATCATACTAATATGTACGTTTATATCGCAGGTTCTCATAAATTTCTTTGACAGTCCAGATGTAATTTCCATGAAAGCTTAACAGTCATTCATGTACCGTTACATCAAATGAAGTAGAACAATGCACTATTAATTCCTGGAAAGCCAGACGGAACTCAAACATTATTCAACTTTGTTTCAGACTTGGACAATATACTCCTAAAATATGATAATTTTGAACTGATTGTGATAAAATTACTTAACCATTAATCAAATATATTTTTGTTAACAGATACCGTGCAGATGATGGCCAGCTATGCCGATGTGATAGTCCTACGTCACCCTGAGCCCGGGGCTGTCGAGGCGGCCTCTAAGGCCTGTCGCAAGCCCATCATCAATGCCGGTGATGGGGTTGGAGAGCATCCTACCCAAGCCCTGCTGGATGTCTTCACCATAAGAGAGGAGATCGGTACCGTCAATGGAATGACGGTAAGATGGTCGACCTTCTCAAATTGGCATTAAAAATCTTTAACGAATTAAAGGGAGTGTAGCCTGACGAGACTACGTTTCTTTCCCGTGGCCTGACTGAGGGCCAATCATCAGTTTCACAAAAGCTGACCGTGTAGAGATTATTAAAGTCACTGACTACCGCTAATCAAGTCCATTTGTTAAGTTCAGTTGTCCAAAATAAGACGTAGATGGCGTTAATCATTATTTGCCAAGCTACACTCCCTTTAAGAAGAAAAATTTCTCTGATGGATTAAATGAACATGGTTTTCTAATTCAAATTGGCAACACTGAAATCGTCCTATTAAAGGTAATGACACTTTTCCATCAAAATCTGTATTTGCATTGAAACTGATAATTGAATATTACAAGAAAAGAAATTAAATGACTTTGATTCTACAGTTTATTGCCAAGTTAAAATCATTTGATACCTTTAAAGTTAAAGATAAGGAGGAGGAGGAATTGAATATATGCATTCCATATTGCAAGGGATATGCCAATATACAAATTCTTCAGGATTTTATTTTTAAACAATCATGCCATTTAATGAAAGGCAACAGATACTGACTCATTTTTGTATAACAATTGTTGAAATTATTGTGTTATTTGATTCATTAACAACTGTTTGTTTTACTCACCGTATGCCATACAGATCACAATGGTGGGCGATCTGAAGCACGGTCGCACCGTCCACTCTCTGGCCAGACTCTTGACCCTTTATCGGGTCAATCTTCGCTACGTCTCGCCGGACAGTCTCAAGATGCCGGCTAAGGTCAGAGAGTATGTCCAGAGCAGAGGCATCCCACAGGTCAGTCTCACTCGTAGATGATTCCAAAGGACTAAGGTAGTCGTGAGAATCTCAATGGTTCTTGAGGCAACTTGTAGTAAACTTCTCGTTGAACCAAGGAGTTTTAAAAGATGGAGTCATATCTAGCTCATTCCCTTTTGTATTCATATTTTATTATCTGTTGTTAACGAGATTTCTTTATTCAAAATATCATAACTCAAGCTTTCAAATGATGTTGACGACATCGTACCTCGGACATTTAAGGTAACAGCACACCTGTCAACTAATTGAGTAGGTTATTCCCTGAGAGAAATTCTTAAAACTTTTCTTATGTGCCAACATTCATTTATGATAACTGTTTATGAGCATTTAAAGTGCAATTTCAACGACAACAAAAATACATGATGGTTTTCACTCTTATCCTTATTTAGGAGGAATTCAGCAGCATTGAAGAGGCTTTGCCAGAAACAGATGTGTTATACATGACCAGGATCCAGAGAGAAAGATTTGAAAGCGTCGAAGACTACGACAAGGTATGATATGCTTTATGTTTGACCCAAGCCATGGTTGTTGTTTTTTCTTTCTTTTCTTTTCTTTTCTCTTTAAAGCCGGTCTACACTAGTTTATCCAGGAGGGATTAGACCTCCCTGCAAGGTCACTGACAGATGATTGTCTCATCAAATCAGCTCTCGATTAATATAAGAAAACAGGGATCATAGGGGACCAACAGTCACCGATTATACATTATTGCTATATAGATGGCGCAATTAGCTATAAGTAGTGCAGTGGGGCTTTAAAAATGAAAGTAGTATACATAAACAGTAGCTGTCGAGAGGTGATTGTTATTACATGTACAGCTTGACTTCTCCCGATACAATCATGCATGTAAACTTTCTCTTATTATTGGTCCAATTTATTTCAAACTTTCGCTATTCTGATTCTCTCTGATTTTTCTGCTGTCATTCAAATGAACTTATAACAACAGTTGGATTGGCCTTTAATTGCTCACTCTATTTCCACAATGCAAGGGCTGTCTCACAAAATGACCAAAGCTGAATTTTCCTTTCCTAATTCCCTTTCCACAATACCTCTGCTCTGGGCAGTTCATCAAGCGTTCTCACACAGGCCTCATTTATGTTTGATGTCGTTTACTCTCTCTTTTTTCCCGCTAGGTCTCTGGTCAATTCATCTTGACCCCTCACACGATGACCAAGGCCAAAGCAAAGATGGTGGTCCTTCACCCTCTTCCCAGGGTTAATGAAATCAGGTACGTTCAAATCAACTATCAACTAGGGGCACCAGTACAACAATTTTAACAGGGGGTGTGTGGGATCAAATCTGCCCAAGTTTTCTTGAAATCAAGTTCAACAGTAAAAGTGATTTTTTTTTTTCTTTTTTTTTTAAATCTTAGAGGTGAAACATTTCCTCATTTCATCTGCTGCAATTCAACATAGAACTATGTTCTTTTGTCTTTCAAAAGAAGATATCTCCTAATCTGCCAACTGGTATGAAAATGTTTCTTATAATGGATGAAGTGAGTTTGATGTGGGAGCAGTGTCACATTCTGTCAATTCCAGCTGTAAATGGAATTCTGAGTATAACTAGCAAAATGTACTTTTCTACTTTAATATCTCTGCAATGGAGAGATATATAAAACTTGAACTTTGTATTTTAGATTGTAACAAATTCTTGTCCATATCCGTTTCTTGCAGTCCTGCTGTTGATACGGACCCTCGTGCAGCGTACTTCAGACAAGCGGAATGTGGCATGTACGTCAGGATGGCTCTCCTGGCCATGGTACTAGGCAAAGCATAGATCACATGTGGTCTTTGACAGTGTCAACAAAGTCTTTTGCAGCATCAAGATGGTCTTGTGACAGGGTCAGTGGGTCTATGACGTTGTCTACATGGAGTTTTACAGTATCAGTGTGTTTTTGACAGGACAGGCAAACCTGTCTTAGTGGCCCCCTGTTTATAATGGTCACCTTTATTATGTTCTTCTGGGGAAAAAATAATTTTATGTGTTGCAGAACCTGTATATGAAGGCCACCTGTCTATAGTGGTCAGTTTGCATTTTCCCCTTGGGTGGCCTCAATAGGCAGGTTTGACTGTATCTATGTTGCCTTTAACAATGTCAGTATGGTTTTGGGCAAGGTATTAGTTGCTTTTTGACAGTAGCTGTATGGCCTTGCCAAGTAGCATCGCTGTTTTTGACAGTGTCAATGTTTTCTTTGACAATGTCATCATCTGTTTGGAGCCAGCAGGGCATTAAACCATGTGCTTTAACCCTATTTAGCCCGGGCTATTTTGAAACTGCATAGCCCAGGGGGGGGCTTCTCAGGCCCCCCCCTGTGATCTCGGCCGTGAAACGCCCGATCGCCGCGAAAATTTGCATACATGTCAAGTGAAGTGTATAGAATACTATGGTAATTTCAATTTTTTTGAAAAATTCACTCATTTGCATATTTATGGTAATTTATGCAAATAAGGTCATTAAATTCACATTTTTGCCCATAAATCAGACATTATTCATATTTAAGCATTCTTTCTCACTACATATATTTGTTAGACCATTTGGAATAATAATACAACACAAAAATTTGAAAAACCAGGGTTATTCCTTATGTTATCTATTGTTTTGATAATTTCTTATGTATTTCTTTGTTTTTTTAACTTATGTATTTTATTGTTTTTGTTGTTTTATTTCATTTCCAACTATAATTCAACTATTTTGACCCCAAAATAAACACCTAAAATCTAAACAAGACCAAATAACCAATGTTTTACCTCTTTATTTGAAAAATGAGATTTCCATATGTTTTGTACACAAATCACAAAAATGAGCGATTTTCGGGCTGACATGCGAAGACAAAAGGACACGTGACTTTGTAATGGTAGGTCCGATTTTCGAAAAATTTCTTTCAAAAGTTGCGCAAGACTCGAAAGAAAAAAGTCACAAAATTTCAGTGCAAGATTTTCTTGCGTTAAAAAATTATCGCGAAAAATGTCGAGGGGGGGGCTTCTCAAGCCCCCCCCCGGGCTAAATAGGGTTAACACAGACTTACAGCCCTTCTTGATCTGTGCAGACAATGTAGCCTTTGGTATTGTAAATGATGTCTTTGACAGTGTCAATATCGTCATTTGGCATCGTCAGTGAAGCCTTTGGCAGTATCATTGTTGTCATTGGCAGTGAAAATGCAGCCTTAGGCAGTGTCTGTATGGTCTTCGGAGTGTCAATATGGCTATTGGCAGTGTATGTAAGGTCCTTTGATAGTTCAAATAAACATTCTGCATGCATGTCTATGTATTCCAAATCATTCAGTATTTTCTTTTGTCAATCCTTTTTTTAGCTTCTTGAAGAAGAATCCGGTCAGTAGTATTCATGTTGTTCATGTTAAAAACAAATTTGTTATCCAAAATGTGTAACATTTACAACGGTTAGTATTAGATACTTAAATATCTACTAAACATAATTGCATTTCATCATATGTGTAACATTTACAACGGTTAGTATTAGATACTTTTTCTATATTTCAGAAAATCAACAATATCTGCTAAACATAATTGCAGGTCATCTTTTGTTGTTTCGGCATAACAAGCAATCAGGTATTCCCCCGGCCCCCCCACTCAGTGTTATTTAGGGTACGCATATGCTCGTTCCCTCTTTTTGAAAGCACCCCCTATCTGAGGACTGCCAACATTTCCGAACCCCCCTTTTGCGGGCTTTTTGCAGGCTTTTCCTGCCTTGGAGACCCCCCTAAATTCGGAATAATTTCTCAGGAGTCCAAAGAGATGAGAGAAAAAAAAGAAAAAAACACCCCCTTTTTAAAGAAATCTCCGGGTAAAAAGTGAAATACACCCCTTTTTTTACGATTCTCGGGCCGGACTTTGTCGCACGAAAAGTACCCCTTTACCAGACATTTTGGCAACACGCATGCGGTCATTCCGACCCCGGAGTTGGGGGGCCGGGGGTATTCCATATGTAATGAATGTTGGCTCTATAAGAGTTTTGGTAAAGTTTATGACTATGCCTAATTACACCTTGTTTAAATCATGTTCAATGGACAATCTTAAATCTGTAAAACAAAGGGCAACTGTGTGAGATTTCTTGATGATTTTTTTTCAAATTAGGACTACTCTATAACCAAAATAAAATGGAACCTGATATTGTGGATTTTAAAAATTCCTTGTCAATCTGATCCACATGTATATTTTTTGCAAGTTTCATGGGAAGAACAGTTGCTGGCTTTTTTCAGTGCAAGTGAAAAAAATCCAGCAAAACATGTTTCATTGAGTGTATTTATACATTATCGCACAAACCAAGAGGAATCCTTGATTTTTCACTCCATTCCTAAGTTTTTAATACACCTTGAAAAGTGCTACAATTATTGTAAGCAATGTTCTTTGGAGCATACTTTAAGTATTCTTTCTTTGAGACAATATTATGTCTTATGATGTACGAATCATTCTTTTGGGTGATTGGTCTTTTCCAAGTACTATCTATCTCATCATCCATTATGTTACACGACTCAGGGGGTATTCGAGATGAGACCAAATTCACTCTCTTATTTGTTAGATGGGCCAAAGTGATGCATTGAATACTTAATAGAAGGATGCCGAGTGAATTTTTCTGTGATTCATTCACTGGAGAATTTGCTTTTGACTTTTTCATTTTGTTTTTTCTCCAGTTTTCTGTGATGTATGAGGTTGTGAGAAAAGCACAATATTTGTAATGGATTAAGAGGACTTAAGAGGATTAAGACGAGACAAACAACAAAGTGCATTTATGAAATAAAGTGGAATAGATGTTAAGAATATTTACTTTATTATTGGCTGAAATTGAAATAGTCATTGTTCCCTGTTACTGTATTTGAACGATGACACCAAACGATATCAGACACAAGGAAAATTATGAATATTGACTAGAAATTACTAGTGAGTCGTTGTTTTGTACATAAATACCATTCATCAAGATGGACTGAATTTCCTTATTACACTACATAGCAAAGTAAAAATCACATTTGATCAATTCAAGTTAAAATGAAATATTGTGTTGACAAATTTGTTCATGAAATGTAATGAATCTTTATCATGATGTCTGCAAGTTTCTCATTTGGTGAAACACTGCCAGATGGTGCCTTTTTCACTCAGTTGATAATCTGTGTGTGGCATCTATGTTTTTTTTCAGCTGATTATGTGCGTGGAAATATAAAAAAATTGAAATAAAAACTTATTTAGAAAAGTACTTGTAAGATGCATGGCTTTGTTGGACATACTATAGGCTCTGTAATGTAACAATCAGCCTACAATTGCTGGTAGAATCTATTGTACATTTTTTTCCTACAATTAATTGTACTTTACAATGAATTGTATATATCTGTAACACTAAACTAATTTGTAAGTTAATATTCATAGTAAAATCATAAATTGAAAGGGATACAGTCGATTATAACTCTTTCTGTTACAGGGTATTGGTTACGTTATGACATTTGAAAATCTTTGTTTGCGTATACTATATATTTTTTTGAAAAAGAAATTGACATGAAAATGCACAAAGCACTAAAACTAAAATGTGTACCTATATTATGTATTTTCAGAGCACCCTTAAGTTGTAACAGTTGGTGGAGGGTTTGTATAGATGTTTGAATTTTTCTGGGTGCACAATTTGTGAAGAAGGTGCAAAAAACAAAGAAAATGTTGCTTAATCGTTATCTGCTTTTGTTTGAATCTTCTGATCAATTTGCTTCCATCACATAATGTGTTCCATGTTCATATTTGTGGTGCAAATTTTGTGATACAGATGTATCTATTTTATATATTTTTTAAAGATTTTTCCTAATTGGATAAAAAAAAGTAGCAGCTTATTTTCTGTATATGAAATATGAGAACTCTAAAATAAAATGTATCTGTTAAGTTTATTAATAGAAAAATTGTTGATTTGAAAGTATTGTAGAAATCTAGCATTGGTTTGAAAATGAAATAAATACTGTACATTCATGTAATATCCCATTTGCTCCCACTATACCGACAATAGACTGAACAAAAATTAAATTTCTATAAATGGCGAAGAGTCAGTTAATTTGGGGATGGGATTGATCAAGGTATATATCATGCTTCTGAATCTAAAGTGCTTTGAGACGTTTTTTTTTTAAAAAGCGCTATGTAAATCAAAGATCAGTATTGTCATTGTCTCTGCTACCTCTAACGAATTACATTGAACAGAAACTGTCAACCGGATAAATAAGTCTGATAACACTTTCTGATGGAGTTGGACAAACATGACCAACGGTATATGACCAACGTACATTACATGTATATGTGCAAAGATGGTGCGTACACGGCAAAACACGTTTCTTCCATTTGGTGGTGCATTCGTATTATAGCTCTCAGATTACACTTTTTGATGGAGTTGGACAAACATGAGCAACCATATACAAATGTATATACACGTACATTACATGTATATGTGCAAAGATGGTGCGTACACGGCGTAACACGTTTCTTCCATTTGGTGGTGCATTCGTATTATACATGTAGCTCTCAGAAGAGGCTGTCAAATTTTCAAGCAAAGTAAAATATTTGTATTACATTGTAAATGTGAAAGGGCCCATCAATTATTCAAATTGGATGATAAAGTATTAGCATGACAAAAATGTGAATATAATTTGATATGTACATGTATTTCATTTGTGATGAGGGTACAACTATCTGTACAACAGTGATTTACACACAAAAGGCACGTCTTCATCATCTCGAGATTGCCCAATTGCCCGCTATTTCTGATTTGGGATATAATCCCGAGGTTAGAAGTCGCGAGTCTTCGGTCTGGTGAGGACGCAGCGGACAAATAGCTGGATATTTTGCCAAATAGTGGGATATTTTGCAAACTATCCCAAGATATCTTGGGATGACAATCACGACCAAATATCCCGCTAATTGCTACTTCGGTCTGAAATTAGCTGGATAGTTTGCGATCGGGATAGTTCAAATAGCTGGATATTTGGCAATCTCAAGATAGTAAGGACAGGCCTATTGTAACCAACCCTAACCCTAAATGGTAAAAAGTTGTAAAATGTCTATTACTACTCGCACAATATCACAATGTACTGTCACATACATTCAATAAAATATTCTATGTCACATTAGAATTTTGACAATCTAGTGTTTGTATGTGTAAAGCATTTGATTAAGTTAATGTTTATGAATTATGTAAGTACATGTAGAAAATCCATCTACCCTACTTGAACCAACACTACAGAGGCAACTGTCATTTGAAGAAGAAAAAATGTGAAATTTGTCAAAATTAATGGGGGGAACAAAGCAAAACAAAATAGAACAGGAGAATTTTTAAGCGTGTTTCACATTGTATTAAGAATTTCAACATTAGTTGACTGTATTTTTCATTGTGAAAAATATAGGTAATTTGACATGCTTTCTATCGGCACAGAAGAGCAGAAACATGGGTTTGAAATGTAAAAATAAGGGAAGTGAGGCAGAATAAGAGAAGACAAAAACTGCAGTTCTTAGTTTTCTTGAACTCATTTATTCAGAAATGTTCATACATGGCAATTTTTGCATATAAACTTGAAGGAAACACAGAGCAACAGCATAGAACAAAATGAAAGATCAAAAAGCCAATACAATTCACTGTACAATATAAAGATTAATGCATGTACTGTACATCCATATTTGTTTTTTTGGCAGGAATATATAAATGCTTGAAGTCTGAAACGTGTCATTCACTTATCCCGCTCTTTTTCTTTCTTTAAATGGTGCAAAATTAAAGTGATCAAATACCATATTTCTAACATCAATAACCAAATTCCTTATTTTAATCCTGGAGCTAACATACAGTACCTAAAGTCTGACACTTAATCTAGCATGAACCCCGGCTGTACCAGAGAATGTTGATACCAGCATTTTTCACTCATGAGGTGAATAGTTTACCGGGAGCAAGGTTTCGGTAACTTTGTCTCAGATCCTTTTTAGAAATCCTTTATTTAGCTCATGCACCAATCATACTATTATAAAACTTTAGGGTATACATGAATCCCATGACTTTTACAAGCCCATCGCCCATCTGATTATGAAGATATTTATGATTGGAAATCAAAATCAAGTTTTGCG